GGATTGGCAGCAGATGTTAGCTCAGGACTCCTCTTCCTCAAAAAAAAGAAAAAAGAAACGTTGTTCGTAATATTTACCTTATTAATTTTTGTAAACTGAAAATTATTTCTCAGGGCTCTATTAGATTATTGTTTATTTTGAGGAGAGGCAAGAATACTTCATAGGAGGTGCTTTGTATTTTATATTGCATAAATCGGGCATATAATGTTCAGTTGCCACACTTTTAGTAATTAAACAATGGATTCAAGTGGTGACAGCTTTGTCCCTAAATATAGAATATATAGTCAGCTTTCCTAGAATGGAATGAAACAACCTCTTTTTACTCCAGCAGGGAATTTGCTAGTGGAAAGAATATTGAAATAGTTAATGGATAACTGGTCTCTTGGTGCTGGATATTTAGAAACCTGCTATGTGGGTAAGGGTCCTGTGCTTCTGTTTTTTCATCTGTAACAATGAATTGAATCTGGTGATTTCTGAGGCCCTTGCATTTTGATGGTTCTTTATATTAGACAAGAGTCTGATGCACAAGCAGCCTTTCATGAAATATCCAGCCGGTCAAGACAACACATCCAAAAATAGTTTAAGTATAACTTAAATTGTCATGCTTTGAATATTGATGACTTTGATAGTTTCTTTTCCTTAGGAAATAAGTTTAATAAGGACATCCCTTTCCTTCTGTCTCTCCTCTCTTCATGAAAGTTATTTATACATTTCATTTAAAGAAAATGTCTCAAAATATTTATGTGAATTTTTTATTCAGACCATTTTTAATGTTCCAGAACTTGACTCTGATTCAGAGTGAATTTTTCTTCTGTAGAAAGAATATAATAAAATGAGTTCGGTTTCAATGGGAAAGTGCATTTTAGTTTTTAATCTGAATTACCTCAACTGAGGACATGGTAGAGAGGTATATGCCCATAACTTAGTTATAGTTTACATTTAAATAAAGGATTACTATTTTTGTGTTTTTGTAAGACTGCCTCTCCTTATATCAGTCTGTCTCTGCTTGTTCTATAATGTAGCACAGGAATCTTTCCAAGTTGGGGAAAGAGGAATTGGTGTTAAAGGGGGAAATTCTCTTCTACTTTTTCTTCTGAGCTCCTGTAGCCCTTTTTTCCCTCTTGTTACCTTAAGCACTTTCTACCCTGTGTTATTGCTCATTTGTGCACGTACTTTGGTTCTCTCATTAAAGAAATACGTTCCTCTATAGCAGGGTTGATTTTACACATCTCTCTTTATCCCCCATAGTGGTAAACAGTAGTGTCTCTTGCACAAAGACTGTTTGCAATAAAAGTGTATTTAATAAATCAGTGAAGATAACATTTTGCTCTACCTGCTACCTAATGCACGATTTTTCTATATCTATAAAATATATCTTTAAATTTATTTTGTGTAACTAACTCTCCTTTCTCCAAATACACTACAGCGTTTTAGAGTCTGAAAGGGAAGGCTCCTCATACCGTCTTTTATTATTCAAGAAGTATTTGAGTCTTGAGAAGGTGATGAGCATAGTTCTGGTTGCTGGATATATATCAGCATGCCAAACAACGCCCCTGTTTCCATGGAGTTTAGAAAGGCAATAAATATATATAATAAGTCATGTGTAATAAATTTATGAAAAAATTATGCAGAATAAGGGTGTAAAGATACCTGAGAGACTTGCTGAAGTCTCATGGGTAGTAACTGAAGCAGTAATGGTACCTAGGCCTTCAGATCCTAACAGTATCCTTCAAATTAGTTTCTTCATTAATCTTAAACTGGGGGCAGGGGGCAATATAATAGATATCCATTTCTATTCTTTTCTTTCATCCTAATACCTTTTTAAATTAAATCTACACGTAGAATTTCAAGAGTCCTTTGAATTTACTGTATTTTAAGTTTTCAAGTTTTTCACGTCATAAGAGTAGTGGACTTAAAAATCAACATAAGAATTTATGTGGAGAAGTTTGAAGTTAATAAGAAAACATATTTCTGCACTTAGTATCCCTCATAAAGAGATTGAGATCCATTTTTCTTAGTAAATTTTCATCAAGTTTAGTTAAGATACAACTTGGCATAGGGGACTTTCTATCAGAAAATCACATTTGATTGAAATTTAATACCTTCTGTATCTAATGTCTAACTTTCTGACCTTTCCTACAGTAAAACCTCTGTTGTAGCATATAGAAATTTTATACTTGCCTACCAGTGCCATATTCCTTCTCTTCTCTTATACAAATGAGTCATTTCGGTCAAAATCCTTTCATATTATTCTTTCTACATGCACCGTCTCCTTTGAACAGTTTTAGTACTTGTGATCTGTACGTTTGATTTGGCACTTAACTATGCACTGCTCTTTGAGATCTTTTATTTTCTAAAATTTTAAAATATTTAATTTTTCGTCTGTTCATTTTTTCATATTCATTTCTGTTGTTTTCTTTCTTCTGTCTTCTCCCATTGAGTTGAAAATTGTAGATATTTTAACAGAAAATTTCATTGAGAAGCACCTTTTTCTTTTTTAATTTTTTTTTCCCCTGAGGAAGGTTCGCCCTGAGCTAACATCTGTGCCAGTCCTTGTCTACTTTGTATGTGGGTTGCTGCCACAGCATGGCTGCTGCCGAGTGGTGTAGGTCTGCACTGGGGATCTGAACCCATGAGCCCAGGCTGCCGAAGCGGAGCGTGCCTAACTCAACCAGTACTCCATGGGACTGGTCCTGCACCTTTTTCTTTAGAAAGACTCATCTTCTGTATGGTTGAAGATAGGAAGACATAGTTTTTGCCACGCTGTAATTTTGAATCACAGCTTGCTATGGCAAAACCATTCCCAAAAGTACACTTCCTAAAGTATAACACTTATGCTTTTGCTTCTGCCTTTAAAAATAACTTAAAATTAGGGGCTGGCCCAGTGGCGCAGCAGTTTTCGCATGTCCGCTTTGGCGGTCTGGGGTTTGCCGGTTTAGATCCTGGGTGCAGACCTACACACCGCTTGGCAAGCCATGCTGTGGCAGGCGTCCCACATATAAAGTAGAGGAAAATGGGCATGGATGTTAGCTCAGGGCCAGTCTTCCTCAGCAAAAAGAGGAGGATTGGTGGCAGATGTTAGCTCAGGGCTAATCTTCCTCAAAAAAATAACAAAACAAGCACAAAACTTAAAAGAAAACTTATTCTTGTTTTTTTCTTAGCTCCATGCCATCTTCACAGTTGTTATTGATTGGTTAAAGTTAATATACTGCCAAATTTTGTGAAAATTTCTAAGTATTTACAGAGATTATTTTAAGAGTATTCTGTGTCTATTTGCATTTGAAATATTAGAAATCTGAAATGTTATTTCATGTTAAACTGTGTTAGTTTAATGGAAATTTGTAGAGAAACATATTGTTTCCCCACAAGTTTGACGTTCAGTATTAAATATGTGTTGATTAAATATAGTAGTTATGCCTAGTTAGTAGATAGGTTACTTTCAAAGATGGAACAGTGTAGAGTTTCTGGTGTTATAATGGTTGAGAATTTATTTCTTAAGGTTTATTTTTTTTTATTTCTGACATCTAGATACTGGGCATGAATGTAATTGTGTTCTAGGTTATAATTACTTTTACATCTATTTTAGTTATTACAGTGTTAGAAGTACCTTAGATTTGTGAAATAAATTTCCCCTGATCAAGTTAGTGATATTTTGTATAATAATCATCAACTTTTTATCAGTAAACAGGAAAGAATATATCTTAGTACCTATTTGTAATCGGCACTCTGGTAAGGGATGTGAAAACAAAACTTTTCCCCATATCTTAGGAGTTTGCTATTTTCTAATTCTTTAAATTTCTTTCGATTGAATCTTATGTATGTTGCTTCATTAGTTGTTATCACTGTATGGTCCTCAGACCCCTCAGGGTCTCAGAGACCATTCAAGATGTCCAAGAGGTCTAAACTATTTTCATCACAATGCTGAGATGTCATTTCCCTTTTTTATTATGTTGACATTTGTACTGATGATGCAAAAGCAATGGTAGGTAAAACTACTGGACTCTTAATCAAGGCCATAGTACCAAATTTTACTGGTATTGAATTCTTCACTGCCATGTACTTACAGTTAAAAAAAATGAAAAGCCAGTTTCACCTTAAGAATAACCTTAATTTAATCAAGAAATATTAATTTCTTGAAATCTCCACTTCTGAATGTGTCCTTTTACTATTACTGTGTGTGACAAAATGGGAAGTCCACATAAAGCACTTCTGCTGCATATGAAAGTATGGCATTTGAAGGAAAAGCACTTTTTTTGAGATGTGAGGTGAATTAGCCACTTCTTTTTCTGTGAAATGCCATTTTTGCTGGAAAATATAACTGATAGACACACTGTGCTTCTCAAACTTGAGTATTTGGCAGACGTTCTCAGAAATGATCTAATTGAGTGTATGGCACTTTAAGAAAAACAATCAGCAGTGTTTGTTGCCAATGATAAAATTAAGCTTTTCAAGCACAAATTAGAATGTTGGAAATTGTAATTGCCTGGGCTTGACAGCTTTATGAAACCAGTGGTGATATTAATGAAGGTGATTTTTTGATATTTTAGTTTAGTTTCTAATATGGTAAATATTAATAAATATAGTCCTTATATGAAGTCCTCGGGAGCCCAGTACTTCATAAGTGTATAAAGGGGTCCTGAGAGTAAAACATTTAAGAACAGCTGATTTAGGTCCTCTACCAAAGCCAAAGGTTTCATAAGCTAAGCATTAACCTCATAACTTTCCCTTACCCCACCATGCCCCGCCAAATTAAAGGATTCCAGAGAAAAAAAATTAGACTGCGTATGAATAATACATTCTTAAATTCTTCTACAAGTGCAGTTTTCTCCTTTAGTTAAACAATGGGTCTATGTATTTATTTAGAATTGCATTGTATTTATCATTGATATTTACGTTAAAATATTTTTTTCTCTCCTCTTCCTTTTTCTTCTGTTTCTCTTCCCACTTTCCCTTTCTCCTTTCATTCCTCCCTTCCTTCCTATTTTGTGTTTGTTTTCTAGGTGGAGTCCTTTATTTTGGATCAGGATGATTTGGAAAATCCAATGCTGGAAACGGCTTCCAAGTTGCTCTTGTCAGGTACTGCTGATGGTGCAGACCTCAGGACAGTAGATCCAGAAACACAAGCTAGGCTGGAAGCTTTACTAGAAGCTGCAGGTAAGTCTGCAAACTCTACATATGTAATAAGTCTATGTGATTTTTCAGAGTTATTCATAAATCTCAAAAACGTCTCTTATTATATATGTATGATCTTGGATATTTAATATAATACTACTCATAAAGGTTAATGGATTACTTTCTGGAGAATTATATGGGACGTTTCATTAAAGTATATTTTTATTACCAGAGTAAAATCCACATGTTACTGTCAACCTAATAAAGAGGAACTTCTTATACAGTCGATTTTCATTTGTCCCAAATTCCATATTTGTGAGTTTGCCTATTTGATAAAATGTATTTGTACCCCGAAATGAGTACTCGCAGCACTTTCACGCATGGTTCTTGATAGAAAGGCACAGAATGGTGAAAAATTTGACTTGTCCTACATACATGTTCCTCACTGAGATGGAATAAGGTGATACTCTGCCTTCTTGTTTCAGCTTTTGTAGTGTTAACCCATGTCTTTTTCACAATCTACCTAGTGCCACATTTTTCACATTTCTCTGCCTTTTGCTGGTGATTTTGCGGTTTAAAATGGCCCCCAAGTGTAATGCTGAAGTACTGTCTAGTGTTCCCAAATGTGAGAATGCTGTGATGTGCCTGATGGAGAAAATAACTGTGTTAGATAAGCTTTCAGGCTTGAGTTACAGTGCTTTTGGCCATGAGTTCAGTGTTAGTGAATCAACTATGTATTAAATAAGGTTGTCTTTAAACAAAAATACACATAAAACAAGCTTGTGTATTGATTAGTTAATGCAAATGCTGTGACCAGAGGCTTGCAGGAACCTAGCCCTGTATTTCCCATAGGAGCAATGATTCAGTATTCATTAATTCAGTGTTTACAGTGACTTTACAGAAATAACTACCATGAATAATGAGAATCAACTGTATATAATTAGCCCAGTTTTTTGTTGTAAACTCTCTCTTGAGACCTTGTAAAGTGGATCATCATTATATTTTTATAAAATGGATCATCATTAAATTAGCCCCATAAGAACAGTATTTTAATTAGAGATTATATACATAATCAAAGATTTAGCACCATATATACATATATATATAATGTGCCTTAAATGTAAGGGAATAGTAACTAAATTTCTATGTTTTTTTTTCTTTTTTTGAAGATTTTATTTTTTTCCTTTTTCTCCCCAAAGCCCCCCGGTACATAGTTGTATATTCTTTGTTGTGGGTCCTTCTAGTTGTGGCATGTGGGACGCTGCCTCAGCGTGGTTTGATGAGCAGTGCCATGTCTGCGCCCAGGATTCGAACCAACGAAACACTGGGCTGCCTGCAGCAGAGCGCGCGAGCTTAACCACTTGGCCACGGGGCCAGCCCCTCTATGATCATTTTTAATAACCATATATTTTCTTAACTTTTCTAAGGTAGACATAAATATACTGTGAACATTAGTTGTTCATGGTTTGAGCACCCCAATGTACTATATATTGTACATGCAATGCATGTAAACTGTTACTTTATTCTAGCGTAAAACTGACCTACTACTGTTTGGTAATCATTTCAATAAATATCTTTTAACACATCATCTAAATATTTGAAGAATTCGTTGTTAAGTTTGATTTCTATCCTGGGTAAAATTCTAGAGTGGATCATTAATGGGATTTTGACCAAATATAGATTATAACGTAGTTGAGGCACAGGCAAGGTCCTATTCTTGAGTGTAGAAAACTGTTTATACAGAGTAGTTGAGAGATAATTTAGCATTTTTCAGAAATTTGATGTTGCTGTAGAAGTTTATGTGAGAGAAATGAGGATTGTGAAGTTATTTGAAAATGTGTCATAAGAGGAAGAGGTACTGTTTCTCCTGAAGGTGAGAAAACTCAGATTGAGTACAGGAGGGGTGTTTGTTTTCTGTGGCCCCAAGAGGCAGAACCAGGTTCAAGATGCTACATGAAAGTAGATTTCAGCTAGAAGGACCTGCTTTTGGAGATAGAGTTCCTTTTCTAGGATGCTAATAGTTGCTTCATTTTTCTTATTTCTGTATTTTCCCCATTTTTTCTGTTTTCTTTACAGTAGCTAACAAGCTAGCCTTCCTTCTCTCTCTCAGTTCTCCCCCTTCCTCCTTTATTTCCTTCTTTTTTTAAGTGAAAAATTTCACATTCAAGCCCAGAGAGAATAGCATAATGAATCCTTGGCATATCCATTATTCAGTTTCAATAGCTGTCAAAGTATGGACAATCTTGTTTCATCTTTACTCATTACCCCCCTGCTGACTCCCCACCCTCATGTTAATTTAAAGCAAATCTAAGCATCATATAAGTTCATATATAAATACTTTAGTATGTATCTCTATATTAAGTTTTTAAAAAGAAATATAACGATAATACCATTGCATATCTAGAGAAAAAAAAGTAATTCTTTAATATTGCCAAATATCCTGTCAGTGTCTAGATTTCCCCAGTTGTTTTGTAATGGTCTTTTTACAGTTTTGTTTGTTTGAATTAGGATTCAAACAAGTTTTACATGGTTTTGATGTTAATTATTTTTCTTAAGTGTCTTTTAATCGTAACAGTTCCTCCTTCTGTTTCTTCCTTTATTTTCTACTTACTTGTCGAAGAAATGGAGTGATTTGTCCCACTTTATGGATTTTACCAGTTGTACCTTTGTGTGTTGTATTTCCTGCAAATCAGAACTCAGATCTAGATATTTGATCGGATCCAGGTTCACTTTGTTTTTGGTGAGGATAGTCATTCGTGGTGTATATATTTCCTTATCTATCACATAGGTACTCTGTCGGTTTCTCTTTTTTGTGATACTGAGATAGATTATGGTTTAGACATCTTAAGAAAGGATGCTTGAGAGGTAAAAAAAAAATGGGTGCTTGAGACATTGTCTCAGAATGCCTTTCATACTGTCCTCATACTTCGTAGTTTGACTAGGTATAGAATTCTAGTTTAAAAATCACTTTCTTTCAGACTTTTGAAGTTACTGCTCCATTGTCTCTGAATTTCTGCTGTTGCAAGTTTGGAAATTTGACGCCACACTTATTTATGATATTCTCTCTCTCTCCTACTTTTTCCCTACTCCTCCAAAGCATTATAATTTTTGGCATTTTAAAATTTTGCTCTCATTTTGAATATTTTTGGCATCTTTCACATTTAAGATTTTCTTCATATGTCTGGTCAACCCTGGATTTTGTTCGTAATAAATAGCAAGGCCTTAAGAAGTTAAATTGGAAGGTGTACATGCATATTTTGTCAACTGGTGGGTTTCACTATAAAGTGTTTGTTATATATGATATGTTACATATATAATATAATTAGCTTCCTATTGCAGCACAACAGTTTACCATAAACGTAGCAGTGTGACACAACACTCGTTTACTATCTTTTAGTTTCTGTAGATAAGACATCTGGGCACACAGCGTGGCTAGATTCTTTTGCTCAGGGTCTCAGGGGCTGAAATCAAGGTGTCACCTGAGCTGAGTTCTCATCTGTAAGCTATAGGAGAAAATCCACTTTCAGGTTTATTGTTGTTGGTAGCAGAATTCAGTTCCTTGGAGCTGTAGGACTGAGATACTGTTTTCCTTATAAACTGGCAGCTGGGGCTGCTCCCACCTCCTTGAGGTTGCCCTCATTCTTCGACATGTGGCCTCCTCCATCTTCATGCCAGCACAGCACATGGAATCCTTCTCCTGCTCTCACTCTCTGACTTCATTTTCTCCGGTCAGCCAAACAAATCTCTTTGCTCTTCATGGCCTCATGTGATAAGGTCAGCCCACCAGATAACATCCCTATCTTCAGGTCAGTTGTGCCATATAATATCACCTAATTATGAAGATAAAATATCAAATTCACAGTCACAAGGATTGTTTATTGTGTACACCAGAGCTGGGTAATCTTGGGAATGTTTTAGAATTCCTAGTACATTTTGGTTGGACAGAGACCCTTCATTTCTTTGAGGACCCCCAAATGTCAGTATCTTTAAGTCTTTTCTCTGTGGCTGTTCATTTTCTTGAGAGACACGCCTGCCAGTTTTTGTCTGATGAATAATAAACCTGGCTGCCAGCATTTTGAGAGCTGAGAGTGGGAAGGGGGCTGAGGATCTCACTGTTTATCATGCATATGTTCATTTAATCCTCATTTTTGATTTAGTATCTCATCTCCTTCTCTATACCTAATGTCTCCTAGTCCAGGACCTTTCTGATTTGGTTTCTTTAGAGAATAATCACCCGGCTGTGCAGTTTGGGGATTGAGTCCTAAGTGTCTGACTGCTCTTCACAGGTGTTCAGCCAGTCTCTATTTTCTGACCCAAGCCTCAACCTGTATCTTGTACCTGTAACACCTGTGTCCTTTTGGGCTGATCACTTTGTTTCTCTTTGATATCTGTAGTTCCATTTATTCTGTTTTGCTAGGTCAGTTACATTTCCTATTTACTTTGTCTTCATAAATATTAGCTTAGATTTACAAATTTCTCCTAGTTTTATCAAAGATGGAGTTCTTCTTGTATTTCACTTCTCCCTTGAGTAAGCTCTAATAGGAAAAAGGAGAAAAATAATTATCTTAAAGACATCTATCTAGTTAATCTTTTAATGCATCTTCTCTCTGAAGTTATATGGTTCTGTTGTTCAGTTGATTAAATGTCAATTTGGAGAGAATAATCTGATCATCACATATCTTTTCTGTTTTTTAATGTTCACTGATTAATATCTAATAACTGAGTAAGACCAGTAAAAAAGGATCACCATAATCCAGAGTAGCTAGAATAAATTAATTTCAGTCACTATTCATTTGGAAGATTACCATTTATATCTTAGGTTACTTTCTAGTTATCTTTACTAAAATAGTTATCTTTACTTATGAAGATAAGAGAGTTGATAAAAATTTAATATGGAATATTTTGTTTTCAGTGTTCTTTTTTTTAAAGCAGTGATTACTTTCTGCTGATCCAGACGTATCCTCTTGCCTAGTTCTGTTGCTATCATTGACAAATAGTTGTTATATAGCCGATCTGAGTTGGCTAAAAAATTGGAATTAATGGTCTCATGTGAAAATTTATCTGTGACCTTGGTCACAGTAGTGCCTTAGGATACTTAACCTACCATGGATATCTTATTGAATAAGTACTACTATAGCAGGTTCAGACTATGGTTGGCTGTTCTTATTAGTGACACAATTTATATGATAGGTATTAGTCTTATTAGATCAAGACTGATATCCTTTTATCCTTTGCACATCTTGATTGTAGCAGATACTTGATTTGATTGGTCTGAACATTTGTTATATCTAAAATCATAAAGGCTTCTTGCCAGATTTATTTTTGGTTCCATAAGATGTAATGTTTGATATCTTGGATTTTTCAGAAAGAAAAGCAAACAAGTATAAACTTTTCTTTTACAAACTTTAAACACAGATTTATATGATATCATTGAGCTCTTCCACTGTTACAAGAAATCTGCACTAATATGTTTATTATTGCCATTTAAGTGGTCTTTTTGGTCTATATCTTAGTTAAATACTTTGTCTTAAGACATATAGTAGTGTTTCTTAAACTTTAGTGTTCATCTGAATCACTTGGGAATCTTTTTTAAAAATGCTGGTTTTGGATCTGTAAATCTTGGATCTGAGAATCTGTAAATCTGAGATCCTGCATTTCTAACAAGCTCCCAAATGATAGCAATGCGTCTAGTCTATGGACCACATTTTGGGTAGCAGGGTTCTCTAATATCCATCATAACATTAGATGTTTATCTTCAAGTTGGAGCAAAGGTTCTTAATCCTGGCCATGCATCAAATCTCCTTAGAGCTATTAAAATATGTAGATGTGTAGGCCCCACTTCCTACTTACTGAATTACATCTTTAGAAATAGGACAGCTCAACAGATATAGATGCATTTTTGAAAAGCTCTGCTTATGGGCAGTCTGGATTAAGCACCACTGAGTTAGAGTAAGAAAAGGTAGAGATAATCTTGCTTTATAGTGATACCTGGAAAAGCAACAAGTTATGTTTTTTGCAGATGGTTACTAACCATTTCTGCTTTTGAAAAATTTTTTTTTTCTTGCTATTCTGAATAGTTTTTAGATATGGTGCTTTTAGATATAATTGAGTATATGTAATAAGTTGTAGTCATACTTTGAGGTAAATAGGTATTCTCTTTTATATAGCATATAGTGTTTTATTAGGCCATTTTTGGTCACAAGTGATAGTAGCCCGACTTACCTTTCTTAAAGGTGGTCCTTTGCCAAAAGTATAGGGATGGTGCTGGCTTCTGGTACTACTAGTGTCAATGAGTCAAAAATAACTTTATCAGGACTCTGTCTCCTTTCTATTTCTCTGTTCTGCTTTCCTCTACGTTGACTTATTTTGGCTAGTTTTTTTCTCTTTGTGATGATAAAAGTGGCCAAATAGCTCATGACTCACATCTTAGCAATTTAGCAACCTTTGAACATAGATTCTTCTTCCAAAATTATGGCAGGGGTCTGAGTGGGCCGAATTGTCCCAGCGCAGGCCAAAGACCCATTTCTAGCACCACAGAGTAACAGGCACTTATGGACCACAGGGAAGGAATAAGATTATTAGAGAAGTGGAGAAGAGTGATTTCCCAAAAGATTCAGGGCAGGCAATCTATATGTCCAATGTACCATTTGAAGATTGTTATCATCTATAGAGTTAAGTAACTTAAATTTTGCTTTGTTTCTCCTTTTGGGTGTATCCATATTGGTGTGAAAATAATGTAATAGGAATAGGCAAATTATCCACGGCTGATGGTAAAGCCTTTGCAGATCCTGAAGTGCTCCGGAGGTTGACATCGTCTGTTAGTTGTGCGTTGGATGAAGCTGCTGCTGCACTTACCCGTATGAGAGCTGAAAGCACAGCAAATGCAGGGCAGTCGGACAAGTAAGTACATTTTCACTGTGATCATTTTCTTAAAAATAATAATCTATCATTTACTGAGCATTTATTTTGTGCCTGGCACTATACTAACCACTTTACATGTGATGACTCATTTATATTTACAGAAAGCCTTAGGCATGGGTTTTGTTTTCACTCTCATTTTACTCATGAAGTAACTTAAGATCAAATAGGTGACAAGTGGCAAAGCTAGGACACCAGTGTCTGACTGCAAGGCTGACTTCTTAGCCAATGTGTTATAAAAGACTTTTTGGTTATTTAGATTTTGTTTTCTTTTAATGTTTTGGTGACAAAGAAGTAAATGCTTTCTGATTAGTTTTGACATTTTCCAGTTCACCTTCAGGATTCTGACCATTTTAAAGGGGACAGTTTTTGTTTCTTTAATGAATGTTCAAAAAATGTCATAGATCTAGTTCCCATAACTTGAATGTGAGTAAGTCCCAGGGACTTTATTTCTTATGTTCTACAATTCCTTTTATGTAGTGCTTTACAGTTAGTAAGGGCTCATTAAATATTTTTTGACTTGACCTTTTAAGTTTTTCTGATGATGCTATGCGATAAAAATCATAGCATCTAATATATAAAAACAATTATGCATAGTATAGTGAAACATGGATCTAAACTCCAAGGAAGCAGCTGGGAAAGAATCATTCATATGTGTTACTTTTTTTCACTCCTCACAGGCTTCCTTTTTTCCTCTAAAAAGAGGTTTTTTATTTATTTTAGCAGTTGGCTTTACACAGTTAAGAAAATAGGAGTACATGGATGGGTTTAAAGAATAAAAAATAAGTTTTAATGCAGTGTCTTTTAAAAGTGTGAAAGATAGGGGCCGGCCCCGTGGCTGAGTGGTTAAGTTCGCACGCTCTGCTTCAGTGGCCCAGGGTTTCTCCAGTTCGGATCCTGGGCGCGGACATAGCACCACTAGTCAGGCCACATTGAGGCGGTGTCCCACATGCCACAGCTAGAACTCACAACTAAAAATACACAACTATGTGCTGGGAGGCTTTGGGGAGAAAAAGGAAAAATAAAATCTTTAAAAAAAAAAAAGTCTTAAAAAAAAGTGTGAAAGATAGGTTATATAGTATTAACAAGAGTATGAATTTGCTGTTTCTCTTGGCTCTGTATTCATCTTCATTCAGCTAGAGTTTTGTGTGTTTTTAAATTTATTTTACCATTCTTCTCATAGATTGACTCTCCTTTAGTTACTCTCAGATTCTATTCCTTAGTTAACATTTGGTTTTACTAGCCTACAATATTATTGATATTCTCAAGATATTCCTTAATGTGATGGCTACAGAGACTGGCAAGAGAGATAATTAAAAACACCTTGAAGAGTATATTAAAGCTAGTTTAAGCAGGAAATAGAATAGAAAAATAAAGCCGTAGATTCTTTGGCATTGAAAATACTAGAAGTTATCAGCCAAACAGTAGACCGTATTTATGACAGTCAGATTTATTCAGCAAAGTTTGAGATATATAGTGGAGTGCAGTGAGTGCTATGTGCCAGATTTCACGTTAGTTCGGTGTGGTGCCATGTGCCAAATTTAATGTACACTTTGCTCACAAGTTCTGAAGTTCAACTGTTGCTAGAGCAGTTCCTGTAAGGTTATTTTAAAGCTAGCATATACATATGGAAATTGAATGAAAGTCCAATTAGGAAAGTAGAGTGGGTTGTGTGCCTGAGGGGAGAGAGAGAATGAGAGACCACTTGAAAGAGAGAAAAGGTATGTTTTTATACAGGAAATGTCTTGTGGGGAGGATTTGTCCCGAACTTTCTTTAAGGTGATAGAGAGCCCTGGGTCTAGGGACTGTCAGTGTCCTATAAAATGGGAAATTAAGAGACAAACTTAAGTGCTGCTCAAGACTTTGACTTTGGTAAGGGGACAATACAGTTAACAAGTGGGTAGAATACATAGTATGGGACACAATGATAAGAAATATGGGGAAAAAATTGAATGGGGAAGTGCTAAGGCACTGTTTGGGGTTGGAGGTCATGTTGCATTTTTAATAGAGTGGTCAAGGAAATCCTCACTTAAAAGGTGGCTTTTTAGCAAAAACTTGAAATAGGTAAGGGAGTAAGCTGTGTCTGAGAGAGGAGCTGTCTTGACAGAGGGACAGCAAATACTTATACCTTGGAGTTGGAGCTTAATTAGCATTTTTGATGAAAAGCAGGAAAGCCAGTGTGGCTAAAATGAGAAGAGTAAGAGTGAGAATAGTAGGTGATAAAACCAGAGAGGTGAAAAGGAGAAGTGTGGGTTACTCCTGCTGGACAGATCTTATAAGGATTTTAGCTTTTACTGTGAGTGATATTAGAGGTGAGTGGGGGATTCTGAGCAAAAGAGTGACTTGACCTACTTTCCCTTAAACAAGATATCTCTGGTTCCCTCATTGAAAAGAGACTGCTTAGGAGGTGTTGCCATCATCTGGGCTCGAGATGATGTTCTTGAGTCTAGATAGTAGTAATGGAGGTATAGAAAAGAGGTTATCCATGAATGCTTTTAGTACATGAAGTGATAGGGCCATGTTTCAAGAGGATGATAAAAGAATTGAGTTATTTTTGAAATAAAGATAATTTTAATTAATAGCTCTGGATTTAGTGTTTTTCTTAGAATGAATTTTCTCCAAAAGTGAAAGAATCTTGAGAAATGTCCATAGTTGGAATTTTGGGGGAGGGTTATAGGGCAAACACTTTACTCTCAGTCTGATTTTCTGTTGCTCTAGTTTTTCTATTCATTTTACTTTCCTTCAGCCTTTGCCTTGCCTGGATATTTTTCAGACTTCCCAAAACATGATGTCATAAATAAATATTTCAAAAAAAAGACTCTCCTTATCAGTTATTCATGTGTTTGTCAAAACTACATGCTCACAACTTTCCTTAGTGATTTCCCTTTACTTGATTGAAGAACTTAGGCCTTTATAATTAGTATGGGTTTTACCCATTTTATTAAATACTTTTTTATTAAGTTTCATAAAAATTTTCTAGTGACCAAACAAAAAGAAGCATAATTATAACCTGTATTTTGTTCATGTGATTTTCTGTAAAATTTTGTTTTAAAATTTTCTTTTTTTCCACTTAAAGTAAATTGGACTTTATCTTTCAATTGCGTAACTGAAAACATTTTGTAATGTTGGTAATTTTAAGGTAGTGACTTTTATATGTAGACTAAAAAACACAACGAACTGAGTCATGTTCGATTTTCTTCTTGTTATGGATCATATTGAAATAATCATTCTTATTTCGTGTGACTGTCAAAATTAAACTCAAAAACCAATACTCATGCTGTGTTATTTTTTGTATTCTTATGTTCTGATATTATAATAGCCGCAGTTTGGCAGAAGCCTGTTCAGAAGGAGATGTAAATGCTGTGCGAAAGTTACTCATTGAAGGGCGGAGTGTAAATGAACACACCGAGGAAGGGGAGAGCCTTCTTTGTTTAGCTTGTTCTGCTGGATACTATGAGCTTGCGCAGGTTTGTATTATCAAAATAAAGCTTATGTTTTTTTGTTTTGTTTTGTGTTTTTTTAGTGTGGCCTTCTTAGTAAAGAAATAAACTCAACCATTAAGCTTATTTCAACAAGTAGTTTTGTTAGATACATTTTGTGTTTATTGGCTCTTTTACTATAGTATGACTAGGTAGGTGTTAACATAAATATATGTTCAAAACTTTTTGACGAAAATATCATTTTCTAATATCCTTTAAACATTTTCTTTCATAAGGTTTTGTTGGCAATGCATGCAAATGTGGAAGATAGGGGAATCAAAGGTGACATTACACCTTTAATGGCTGCTGCTAATGGAGGACATGTCAAAATTGTGAAGTTGCTGCTAGCTCATAAAGCCGATGTCAATGCACAGTCTTCAACAGGTTATGCGTATTTCTTTTTCACTTTTTTGAAATATTAACACTCTTTGGTAATGATTATTTCGCATCAGTGATCATTAGTTTTACTTTTGCAGTTCTTTTATTATAAGTGTTACATGTTTGCATAAGTCTGTGCATTAGGTTTAAAGTATATAGAAGATATTTTGAAGGAAATTTCTCCTTTTTTGTGTATGAGGGCGATTACTTGGCCTTGTAAGTTTCTTTTAGATTAAACACTGGCCCGGTTAGAAGGACCACCCTCTTGGAAATGGAGAGGTGTGGGCTACAGTTCTGAAACCCAGGATTCCTGTTTTTGGGGGGAGAAGGGAAGGGAAGATAGGGAGAACAAGAAGGATGTGGAACAAAAGCTGGGTCTGTTATTGCCCTACTGTTGCTGAATTGTGGCATGACACAAAAAGAAAGTATATGAACTACTTAGAAAAAGAAAGTATTATATGAAAACGGTGTGTCCCACAAGGGACATAGCTTTAGTCTAAACTAATTTTGTTTTCTTTCAGACTTGGGCATAGATGGATTTGTGTAAAAGCTCTGAAATTATATGAAAAATATTACACATTTCCTTCATATAAGATTTTCAAATTTATTGAATATTTTAGATAATTTTTAAGGTCTACAGGTTCTGATATGAAGGAGTTTTAGAAATCCTTATTTTACCCAGAAGGTTTTTTTGTTTTGTTTTGTTTTTTTCTGTAACATGGGAGATTTTTTTCATTAAGAAGGACTCTTTCTGAAATTACTTTAACTTTGATCAGTTAACTGATGTTTGAAGTTGTAGTGAAAACAAATATGTATGATTAAAAGGAATGGTATGAGGTGTATCTATATGTGATTAATAATTACAATCCAAAAAAAATAAAGCCTGTGAAACATTTCTCTGATGAAAGTTAGAATGAACATAACTTTTTCTCACCTGAAAAGTTAGTTTCAGAATTGCTCATTTCTTTAATAACTTTACAGTTGTGGTATGTGTATCTGATTTTTTCATATGTATTTGACCCTGATTTTAAATGGAAAGAATAGAGAATTGATTTCAGTAAGATGAAATCCAGTGAGGAAAGGAATGATATATATATACATATATATGTATAAATAGATTATCTAAATTTATTATGATTATAATCTCCCATTTCAGTTTTCTTCTTGATGTTAAATTAGACTCTTTTATTTTGGTATTTTATGTTAATGTGTTTGTTTTTCTTCATTAAAATAGGCAATACAGCACTTACATATGCTTGTGCTGGAGGCTATGTAGATGTTGTAAAGGTGCTCTTGGAATCCGGTGCTAGTATTGAGGACCATAATGAAAATGGTCATACTCCTCTTATGGAAGCTGGAAGTGCTGGACATGTGGAAGTAGCCAGATTGCTGCTAGAAAATGGGGCTGGCATTAATACGCATTCCAATGAATTTAAAGAGAGTGCCCTTACATTAGCTTGTTACAAAGGTACAGTATAAAACGTCTTATTTTTATTTTTTAATTTTTTTTTTTTGTTGAGGAAGATTTGCCTGAGCTACAGCCTGTTGCCAATCTTCCTCTTTTTGTATGTGAGCCTCCACCACAGTATGGCCACTGACAATGGGTGGTGTAGGTCTGTGTCCAGGAACTAAACCTGGGCTGCTGAAGCTGAGTGCACTGAACTTAACCACTAGGCCACCAGAGCTGGCCCTAAAACGTTTTTTAAAACAAAGTTTTTAAACACATGAAATGACAATTACTTTATATAATATTTTTTAATTAAAGGTAAAATTAAAACGTCGTAATAGTGTGTAGTATGTAATTAATTGTTAAATGAAAGTGTTTAAAAGTTTCGAAGTTTAAAAGCTTAATATTACTTTAAAAATATAAATTTAATATTATAAATATTGTCAACAATAAAATGACTCTTAATTGATCCTGTTGTTTTATCAGAAACAGTCATTTAATTTTAATGTGCACTATACTTTTAAATGATTTTGCATTATCAGAATTTTTGCCTGGTTCACACAAAAGAATTCCTATTGAATCCCCAAGTATTCAGCCTCTAACTTTAAAAGTAAACACAATAAAAGTAGCCAGAATGATGTGTTAACAGGAAGGTACTTAACGCTATTTCTCGAGATACCAAGAAGGAGAGAGAAAAATTGAAGACAAAGGAGAGATATGAAAAGGAAAATAAAAAGTGGTGTGGGGGGACTTTGAATTCAATAGAGCAATTATAAAGTATCATCAACACATTTAATAAATTTAGAAGGAAGAGCTGGTTGAAGTTGAGAACACCTACCTGTATGTAGCTGTATAAAAGAGGTGCGTGATATTTTAAATATCAGCTAACCTGAAAATATTGATAATACAGAAAAATACTCTCTTTTGGGAAGGCAAGATAGTTGTGTGGAAAGATGCTTGGTCTCAATTAATTCTGTAGATTCTAGATCTAAAAAGAGAGCCACAGAGCCAGACATTTTTCAAACTCCGCCTTTATGACAGATAAATGGCTATAAATAAACTAAGGAAATTTTTAAAAAAGCAAATTTCATACAGTTTTATGTCTGTATAGCCATTCAGTTCAATGTTTCATCCCATCTGCAGCTATGCCATGTTTGTGTATCATAAAATAAGTGATAAATTCTTGACCCTGAGACAATGCTCTTCCAAGGCTGGGTACAAAATTTAAGGAGGCACTTACTCTCAATGGCTGAATCTTCACTTACCCAAGTTTGTGAGTGAATACTTCCTTAAATTTTGCACGCAAGACTTTGATCCCTCAGCCTAGTCCTAGCCCTGGTGTTTTGTTTCATTCTATTTCAGAGTGGCCAAGGTTGTGTGAGGTCTTTTGGAATAATTTCCTTTAAAAACATGGTTAAAATAATGATTAGGCGCACAAACAACTAAAAATTAAGTTAAATGTGGAAATATGCTCAATCTAAAGTGCTCTTGATTATCTGGTGTTACCAGATTTTCAGAGTAAGGATGGTTAGGAAGCACAGCTGAAGTCCTTTACTTCCCTAGTTGTTGGGTAATTAGGCAGAGGCTGATCTGCTTTGGGAGGAGAGGAATTAAGCCTTGGGGCATCCTCTCTCTTCTCACAAATACTTCTGAGCCTGGAACTGGCTGCATTTTACTACTGAGTCCCAGCTGGCCAGAGGAACTCTGAGATGGGGCTACGTTTAACTACTCTTCCCTCTCTCCTTTGCTTGTAGCCCCACCCTGCTTTCCAAATGGGGCATCTGAGGTTGGGGCTTGCAGGCTTTAATTAGAAGCTGGATGTAGAACTGAGCTGGTGGAGAACATCTCTACTGCTTCCAAGGATCCATGGACCCTCTCTGTTTCCTCTATTTCTGGTGAGGTCTCCTAGGACATAGATTGACAAGGAGGAGATGGGGAAGGGATAGAACTCAGTCTGAGACTGAGCATTGTTGTGGATCTTTGGGAAGGGAGAATTTCAGAGAGGAAAGGGAGGGAGATAGTTAGCAAAAACAAAATATGGCAGGTGCTATACTTACTCACTGAAGTTAGTTTTGTTTTAACTGGTTATCTATGATTCTACCATCCACTTCTTCCCCTCAGTCCCACTTGATTGAGAATTGACTGCAGCTCATTGTAAATAAAGTTGGGGGAAAAAATTAGTCATTTTTCTTTTGTTTCTTGCATAGTATCTGAAGTCCTTATTAAAATATAGTTTTTCTGTGTAACTGCTCATAAGGTATCTTTACCTGAACTGAAGCATATGGTTTATTGGAAACTACATAAATACAAGTGTATGTGTATGTGTGTATATATATACATATGTTTGTTTATATCTAAATAAATGAATGAATGTAAATTAAATGGTATTGTTTCAAGGATATTTTTATATATGCAGTTCCTAACTTACAAACTGGTTGTTCCTAAAAAGTTTATGAGTTAGTTGTTGAAACTTAAAATACATTTTCTCATAAGAAATAACTTCAGTAATTATCATCATCCCAGGCTACTAGTTCACAAAAGCTAATTTATTCCATAGCGTAAATAAAATAACTATAGCATTCCTGGACTCTTAAAAGGTTGTAGAAGGAATATAGAGGTATTGGATTTTAATGGCATCTTTGCTCATCTGCAGCAAGGATTCTAGTAGCAACAGTTTCTAGGGCAACAGGGTAAGGAATAGAATGGCAAAGCTCACATATCATTTGTATTGGACAGTGGGGTGTATTGAACAAGAGTGGCTTGTAGCTGACTTTAATATTATAAATTTATTGCTATAAGTTAGATATAACTTCTCAAAATATTGTAATTTTTTCTTATATTTGTTGGAATAATAAAGTATTTTTAAGTACTCTTAAACACTTTTGTTTTAGGACACCTAGAGATGGTGCGGTTTCTTTTGGAAGCAGGCGCAGATCAAGAGCATAAAACAGATGAAATGCACACTGCTCTAATGGAGGCTTGCATGGTAAGATTGGTGAAATACATACGTGAAATGTACTTATATATTAGGTAGAGAGATCAGAATTACTGTCCAATGAGTGCCTTTCCCTTGGGTTTAAAGATTCTGTTTATTATAGACTTAGTGTGGAGCAGAACCTCAGCTAACTGAATTATCAATAGTTTTCAGAGCCAGTTGTACAACATTAACTTCTATTAGAGGTGCTTTCTGAAACTTTACAGCACTACTTTCATTTTCTTAGCCTCATATAACTATACTGGTTTTATGTAGTTGACACAAGAAGTGACTTTTTAAAAGGTTGATCGAGAATATAAAAGGAGAATATAATCCACAGAGTATATACATAATGTTAAGAATAACATGTTCATCAAACCAATAATTTAGTTTATGAAAAATTTGAAATTACAGTATTATTTGTGTTACAAAATTCCTCCTCTATTGTGGTCTTTCATGAGCCCTGAATTCCTTTTTTAAGAACTCTTTTAAGTGTTTATACTTGGGGATGGGTCTGTATCTCAGTGTGTGATTTGTGGCATAGAAATGGATCGGAGTAACATTATAGACAAATTTATGAGAAAAGCATGCCAAAGACAGAAAAAGGCCCCAAATGAATTTGGTTTCTTTTCTCAACTTCCTTTCAGAGAATGATTATTGAAAGTATGTTAATTTTAATTAGTAATTTAAAAAAATTTTAGGTAGCCATTTAAGACTTGAGTTATCTTTGTTTTTCTTATTACCATGCCACTGTTTGCTTTAGTATGTTATTCTTTTGAACAAACATAAGTTTTCTTTGAAGATATCGAATTCATCATCTGTTAATATGAGGACAATATCTTTCTCTGGGGTTGTTGTGAGGATTAAATGAGATATAATGTGTGTAAAACACATCAGTAATATCCCCATGATACAGAACTTAACACATCCTTGCCACCCTCACTAGGGAAACAACCTATATGTAAATTAAGAAATTAAAATGGAATATTCTTTGGACCTAACCAGCATCCACTGGAAGTGTCGTAAGTCGATGAAAGATAGTAGAGGCCAGAGATTTGGAGGCTAAGAGATTGAAGTTTTAAACTGGACTTTAAAGGAAATGTGGGAGTTGGCTATGGAGGAAGAAAATTCTGAATTGAAGGAACAGCAGAGTAATTGTGGTAATAAAGACATTAAACGTGGTTTAATATGGCATGCATGGAGGCAACATTGGCATGGCATGTTCAGAAAATGATGAAATGTCTGTGAGGTAATACACAGAAGGAAAAAGTATATCAAAGGAAAAAAAGAGGGGAAAAGAGAGCCTTGGAGTTGCCAATAGTTAGGGAAGCTGTGGGAAAGGGAGACCAGTAAAGGAGACAGAAAATAATGAGAGAACTTCTTTTTCTTTTTCTTAATTTTCACTGGCATTTAAGTGTTAAACAAGACAGGAACTACCGTGTACATATTGTGTTCCTCTTCCCCTAACATATCATGCACAATTCCCCTACTCCTCCAAAACTATTGTCTTTTTCTTTTTCTACCTAATCAAAAGTTTGCTTTTCTTAAGGTTTCTACAGAAATCCTACTTTCCCTTTCTAAACTTTATCCTTTTAGCATTTAAGCTTATACCATGCAGTATTGATGTTATCTCAGAGGTCTCTTGTTTCATGTACTTGCTTTTTTTTTCCTGGTGGTTAGTAAGCTTCTTGATTGAAGTTATCATTTTGTTACATGTTTCATATCCTCAATCTCTATTTCCTATTATATACTAAAAAATATAGATAAATCTTAATAAATACTTGCCTTCTCAACTGTTAAATATAGATTTATTAATTCTTATTTGAATGGAGACCAGTAAACGTCATTGTCTAGTAATTGAGAAGTTTTCATATTTTTTTTAATGGTGCTGATTTAATTTTTTTAATTGCATTGTAATTAGGATGGCCATGTTGAAGTAGCTAGGTTACTTCTTGACAGTGGTGCCCAAGTGAACATGCCTGCTGATTCATTTGAGTCACCATTGACTTTGGCTGCATGTGGTGGGCATGTGGAACTTGCAGCTTTACTTATTGAAAGAGGAGCTAGCCTGGAGGAGGTCAATGATGAAGGTTATACACCATTGATGGAAGCAGCTCGTGAAGGACATGAAGAAATGGTGGCATTACTTCTAGGCCAAGGTAACCATACTGATCAAGACACTAACACACAAATGTGTAATATGTAAGATTATAGTTCTATAAGATTGAATTTCAATATTTCATCTTTCTAGGAGATTTGTAATGAGATGTTGTCACAAAAACTAATGATAAAGTGTTTGCTTTGAAAATGGCTCCCATACTGTGCTAAACAACATCAAAGTAGACTTCTTTAATATAGAGCTTTCAGAACCATCACGTACTGTGTGAATAAAAACAGAGAGAACTGGGGTTGGGTTAGGCTTGTAGGTTGTATGGGGTATATATGAGATTCAACATTTCTCAAGCTAGTATATTAAGACAATTCTCTTGGGGCAGAATACCGGGATAAATATTTGATATATCTGTTTTTCATGAAACAGTGTGGGAAATTCTGCCATAAGGACTAACTTGATAAGAATGCACATTTAGGGGCCAGCCCCATGGCCGAGTGGTTAAGTTCACACACTGCACTTTGGTGGCTCAGGGTTTCACTGTTTCGGATTCTGGGAGTGGACATGACACCACTCATCAGGCCATGCTGAGGCAGCGTCCCACATGCCACAACTAGAAGGACCCACACCTTAAAAAAAAAAAAATGCAACTATGTACTGGGAGGATTTGGGGAGAAAAAGCAGGAAAAAAAAAAGATTGGCAGCAGTTGTTAGCTCAGGTGCCAATCTTAAAAAAAAAAAATGCACATTTAAGAAGCTGTCAGGGAGCTCAGTATACAGTGGAGTTCTCTTTTGGGAAAAGTGAAACAGCTACTTTACTGTATTAAGATACCTTAAGTTTAGAAGTAATCTCCCATCTCTATCCATATTTGTAGCCTATTTTTCTCTCTCTTTTAGGGTAAACGTTTTGTTTAGACAAATTTAAGAGGAATGGCACATTTTAAAAAAATTTGTTTATTGAGAGAGAATATTGACTGAATTTTAAAAGCACTGGTTTTGGAGCAGATTTCTTAGGTTTGAATCACAGCTCCATTGCTTGCCAATTTTGTAACTTTAGGCACGTTTGTAACCCTCTGTGCCTAAATTTTGCCATCTGTAGAGTTGTGAGAGTTGCTATGTGTGTTTAAAGCTTTTGGGACCCTGTTTGTCACATAGTGCCTGTTAAGTGTTAGGTATGGTGATGGTGGTAGTAGTGATGATGATAATGTTGTGACCTTGGGCAAGTTGGTTAATCTCAATTTCCTTAGCTGTAAAGTGGAGCTAATAACAACATGTAAAATGCTGTCAATATTGCCTGGCAAATGGTAGTAGTGTATTAAATGTTAGCTATTATTATCATCATTATCAACGTCTTTATCATCCTTATTTTTGAATCTTTATAATGAGGGAATATAGTTTATTTTTCTAAGTCCTTTATCACCTGACTTGTACCATCTGGCTGAATAAATCTTACTCCAGCTGTGTACATCAAATATGGACTGATGGATGTGGTTTTGATAGTTTTCTTTATTTTTAAGTGCCTAACAGGGTAAGGGAGAGGCACTTTATTATTTAATAAATAATCTAAGCATTCATTTTTTAAGTATAGTTTATTAGGAAACAATTGTATTTTGCTTATCTCTGGAATAAGTTAATGACTTTCTTTAAATAATTAGAATCTTTATTTTAGGAGCAAATATCAATGCACAGACAGAAGAAACTCAAGAAACTGCCTTGACTCTGGCTTGCTGTGGAGGCTTTCTGGAAGTGGCAGACTTTCTGATTAAGGCGGGAGCTGATATAGAACTAGGGTGTTCTACCCCTTTAATGGAAGCTGCTCAAGAGGGTCATTTGGAGTTAGTTAAATACTTATTAGCTGCAGGTAGGCATTTTTGCATTTGGGAGAAGATTTTGACATGATTTTTTTAAGTAAAAATGCTGATAATGCAAATAATCTTTTTCTGATATGATACACTGAATTTGTGTTAAAAAATGTGGTAAACTTTCATGTCTATTCTGAATAATTTACCTTATTGCTGTTTGAAGTATCAGCAGCTTTAATTTCAAGCGGTAATCTATTTCTAATTTTTTTTTTCTCTTTTCCTTTTAAAGATGCTGACAATATTCCCTATTTCTAGAAATGGATAAGGCTATTTTGTCTAATTTGAGGAAATATGGCTTATCTAGAAGAAATTTCTATGTCCATCATTTATGTCTTATGATTCTTTTATTAAGTCTGTATGTTGTTTAACACTACTACAGGAGCTAATGTTCATGCAACAACAGCAACAGGGGATACAGCACTAACATATGCCTGTGAAAACGGTCATACTGATGTAGCAGATGTCTTACTTCAGGCAGGAGCAGATCTGGTAAGCTGTATCACTTTTTAAATCCTAATATTTAAAACTAAGACAAGAAATTATTTTAAAATTCTATGGATATTGTAGACAAAGGATATTTCTTCTAATTTTATGTTGACCTTTTTGCCATTCTTTATCTCATTTAGTCACATTTTTTTTCCTACATTGTTTGGTGTCCATATTATTTTCTTTGTTAGCAGAACTGTCCAGTCTAGTAGCCCTTGTCCCCCACAAAAGATGGAAAACTTTGTATTAGATATATTAGTACAAATTAATTTTCTCTTAGGTACTTACCTATTTTTGGAAGCTTTTCTGATATTGTACAAAAAGTCAAACATAGCTTAGAGGCTTTTCACTGTAGCTTAGGAAATAAATTGTGCCTACATTGTTCAGAGCACTATTAAATAATAAAGGAGTTGAAAAAGGTAGGTATTTAATACATAATATTTCCCTTTAAATAACTTTTAGTATTTGAAGGATGAAATAGTGAGGTCATTATAAGGTAGATTATAAAGAGATGTCATAGGGAAAGTACAGAAAATAAAGAAGCTCGAAAGAGGTGAAGATGTCATGTAAGATGTTATATTTTAGACTGGGTAAGGTTTAGGAAGGTAGCTATGGCAATGCCGTGACAAAGAGGTATTCCAGTGGGAAGAAATAGTATGAGTACAGCCTGAGACACAGGGAAGCATAAAAGCAAGTGTATATGGGGAAAATAGTCTTCCAGTTTAGCCTGTGAGGGAGTAGAGGTGAGACGTGAAAAGGTAGGTTTTAGTTAAAATGTAAGTACCTATATGTTCATGGAACTGAGATCAATAAGCAAATGTATTTTCCTGTAGAATTTCATAGTTTATGACAGAAGTTCACATGCAGGCAGAAACAGGCACCTCTATTCATTAGTTTTGTAAACTTGATAGTTATTTAACTTCTCTTTTCTCATTTATGAAAGGAGAGGATTGAATTAGATTACTATTGTGGTCTCTTTCAGCTCTGATTTGTTGGTATAACTCTTGAAGCGCTTTTTACACACATTATATTCTAGTTAGTTTTGTGCGTATTTTTTCCTAATTAGATTTTGAGCTTGAAGCTTAGGAACTGTACTTCCACTGTTGACCACAGTGGCTTTGAAACATACAGCAATGTAATCTTGCTTAGTTAATTGCAATTAGAACAACCTAGTGTATAGCTTAAGAGAAAAATCAAAAGTTATTCATCAGATGTGAATGTTAAACAGTATATATAATGCTTTATAAAAGGTATTTTTTCTCAAACCTTTATATTCTAAGATCTGAAAATTTCCCCAATAGTGTTCTCAATTACCCAGCAATCACAAGAATGCAGTAGATTCTCCATCATTTTGAGATCCAGAAATCTCTAGTAATATCTTATAACTGATGGTTTTAGCGATATTTAAATTATCACTAGACCTTGTTGTTTTTATGTAAGGTAAAATAGAGATGATGGGAAGTCTATAAGGCGAGGGAGTGATGTACTTAAAGAAATTCATACAGGTAGGATGCAAACTTACGAAAGGAACATCACTTGGAGTAGATAGGGATAATACTAATAATGTTGATTATTTAGAGAGGGCTGTGCTAGAGTGCCATTCACTGTCTCAAGTTCCACAATCCTTTGTGTAGAGAGAGAAGGAAAAATTGCACAGATGGATTCAGTTCTTAAATTATTTCAGTAGAACATGTTTCTAATTTGAGATTTTTTTTAATTTAAAAATATATTTCTTAATTTATTTCAAAGCATGATATTTAATATACTTAGATTCATAAATTAGTCCAATTCTTTTCCTTTTTGATTTTTATGGCAAAAATAATTGTTCACTAGCAGTTAAATATCAATTAAGTCTGTGTTTTTTAAACAGGAGCATGAATCTGAAGGTGGAAGAACTCCTTTAATGAAAGCTGCAAGAGCTGGTCATGTTTGTACAGTTCAGTTCTTAATTAGTAAAGGTAGGTTTGTGTAAAGCAGTAGTTTTCCCCCAAAAGTGTGTATCCTCTGCCCTTGGATATTTAGAGATTGAGGAGTAAAGTACAATTTTTGGATATCATGTGGTAGGGTGATTCTACTGAGATTTTGTGAGTGGGTAGTTGATAAACATCCTATAAAGAAGAAATTCTCTATGAAAAACTTTCAGGGGTTTAAATAACTTAAAGTCTGTTCTGTTCATGTAATAATATATCTTGAAACTAGGATTTTTATGAAGTCGATGCCACTGAGTAACTAGAGGACAAGTCACTTTTCTACTTTATATTTCCTGGGGCCCAAATTTCCTTCTTTGTAAAATATAGAGAGGGGGGTCATAAATATAGCACAAAAAATGTTCAAAATTGAAATGTGACAAATATGCCAAAATACATGAAGGATTTTCATTCATGGTCAGTAATTCTACTTTGAATACCAAAAACCTTAATGACAAAAGTATGTTATTACTTTAAATTATTCTTTTGAATTATTTCTTAAGTGTCTACTATGTAAGTTCAAGTTGAAACAGTTTTTCATGCAGATTTCATCATCTTAAGTATAGGAGATTGAAGATTTTACTTTTGATTCAACATTGATAAAAGAAAGACTATATAGGCCATAAACAATTAAAAAGGCAATGTATGCCATTTCTCTCCTACCAGAAATACTAAAGATCTCTTGTTTGTAATTTTGTAGGTAAAGAAAATAAATCAGAAATAGCTTAGTGGTCAAATTATTTTAAGCAATTTGAATACATGCTTAACTTGTGACGTATGTTTATACTATAGTGTTCTCAAGAATGGGATTATTTGCATAATCACTATCCTCTCTCTTCTATGGTTAATTTTAATGAATCTGATTCCACTTTCTTCCTGCTATTTTTTTTTAATTTCCCACATTGTCTAGCACAATGCTCTAAATCAGGGATGAATTCATATTGAGGGGGAAATATACCTGTTTTCAGTTTCAAATATTTTCCAATGAAAAAAGATAGCACCATTACTTTCTATTCCTTGTTAATTCTCTACATATTTACCCCGTAGAGGGCAGCGTGGTTTATTTTTTGTTTTAGTTTTTAGTCGTCTTTTCTACTGAAGAACTTAAAATATAGATAAAATTTCATATTCTGCTTTTTTGAAGCAGTGATTACATTAGGAGTAAGATATACTTTTATCCTTTTCTTTTAATGATACCTACTGAAATATTTATGAACAAAATTATATCATGTTTGTCTAGGATTTGCTTTAGAATAATTCAAGATGGGAGGAGAAAACTGATGTGGGTATATGTAAAATGAGATTGACCATGTGTTTATAATCGTTGAAACTGGGTAATGTGTATTGGGGGGGAGGTTCATTATACTGTTTTTCTACTCTTTATGATTTTGAAGTTTACTGTAATTTAAGAAATGACAATCTCTTAACATGATTTTCCATGCCTTGTCTGTTTTAGGAGCAAATGTGAATAGAACCACAGCTAATAATGATCATACTGTACTGTCCCTGGCTTGTGCAGGGGGTCATCTGGCAGTGGTGGAACTACTCCTGGCTCATGGGGCAGATCCTACTCATCGTTTAAAAGTATGTGACTCAAATGTTTCAGATAGCATTGTGAATTAATTCTTCATTCTTTGACATTACAAAATATCATCTACAAAAGTTCTATTTATAGATGGCATTCTAAGGGTATTCATTTTCGTCTCTCTTATTAGAGTAAACTTAAGATTTTAATGTGTCTGGGGCCTATGGCTTTATCTTCCTTAATGGTTCTGTTAATTAACTTATTTAAAATTTTTTCCCATTCCACATCCTCTCTTTTAGGATGGCTCGACTATGTTGATAGAAGCAGCAAAAGGTGGCCATACAAGTGTTGTTTGCTATCTTTTGGACTATCCGAATAACTTGCTTTCAGCCCCTCCACCAGATGTCACTCAGTTAACCCCCCCATCCCATGATTTAAATAGGGTAAGATTCAAAACTAAAAGCATTTTATATCATATCTTCTTTATCCCCTTTTTGCTCATGGTGTCAGTTTAAACTAGATTGGTTATTTTTTGTTATAACACGTCGTTCTTTTTAAAGATATGTACTTGATATGGTTAATGAACATCTGGTTTAATATTCAATTCTAGATTGATATTATTTTGCTTTGCTTTCTTATGGTCAGAATAACAATTTGAATTCAAAGTCCATTAAAAAAGTGTCATGAAAAATAATTGGGTACCAACGTATTTTAAGTAAATATATCATTGTCTGAGATTCATGCCGTATTAAAAATATTTTGAGTTAGTCTCTGTAATTTGTTCTTCATTTAAAGCATATTATTTAATGTAGTGTGTAGGGAAAGCAGAAATATAATGTTTCTTTTGTCTTAGGCTCCTCGTGTACCAGTTCAAGCACTGCCCATGGTTGTTCCACCACAGGAGCCTGACAAACCACCTGCCAATGTTGCCACTACTCTTCCCATCAGGAATAAAGGTCAGTTAAACTTCTAAAGACTGTTTCTTACATCTTCTCCAGTAAAAATGATAAGATTACAGAAAAACTAGCCATTTAAAGTTATTTTTTTACAAGAAATGAATTTTACTAAGTTGGCATAATTAAAGATTTTTTTACAAATGAAAATAGCATGTTATTGGGAAAGAAGTAGTTAACAGCACTAATTTGTGCTAGAATTAGAAGTATTAGCAGAGAAATTCAGATGCTCATCTTTGATGCAATTCTGATTATTCATGATTTCCTCTAATAACTAGTCATTCATGTTTATGTTAAAATGTTAGGCTGGGTATAGTTGGCTGACATTTTTGTAAATTAATTAAAAGTTAAAATTTATTTCAGAATAACGGGTTTAATATAGATTTTATATCTGGATTACCTTTTCTCCCCCAGTAGTTCAAAGTTACTTCAGATCTGCTTGTTTGTTTCTCTAGAATTCTGAGGTCCATAATTGACTTGTGGATGTTACACCATGTATGTTCATAAGTTATATCCCAAAATATTATAGCTACCAGTTTGAATCAGTTTTTGTTTTTAAAAAGTTTGCCTGAAGAACCAATGCAGTTTTAATTTTTTGGTTTTCGGCTACCTGTATTATTTTACCACCAAGAATACTAAGTATTTCTACCAGCTCTTTTCAATCACTACTACCAATATAGAGCCTTGGCACCATTTTCAATTGATATAGCAAACAACTGATTGCTATACCTGTAGCCAGAACTGTTTATTCACCTGGCTGTCAGAAGATACAGTGGATGGCGTAGTCCAGCATCTTTTCTTCCAGGGAAACTGAATCTCAGTTCTCTACTGGCCAGGTAGCTGTGTGAATATGTGAATTTATATCATGTCTTTATCAGTCTTGAAGATGCTAGGCCCCAACAAAGACATATATTTTAGTTGGATTTTAATTGCCTGGTATTTCTCAGTGGTTTGGGCACTCTTTGTGTGTATGTGTGTATGTTTAAAGGGCACAGACTATTAAATGTGGAAAAACCTTGACTTAGAGGTCTGAGTTTTCCCTACATCTTAATAATTTAGCATTATTTTTCTGTTCTTATAAGTTTTTACATCTTTTTGACCAGATGGAGTATCCACACAGTCTTAGATTTTACTTAAATTGCACCACATAGATATCACAAACCTTCATCCATCTATTGCCTAATTTTAGCCGTGTGATATTTAAAACGTTCTGAAATTAATTTCCCAAAGATTACTCTATGCACATAAAATACATACATTTTATATTTATGTTGACGAAGGTGGATTTGTTTTTAACTGCTTAACAGTGCATTTTCACCTTCTGTGGATATGATAACTTGGTGCATAACTGTTGGCACTAAACCTCCCAACAGTAACTCTGTAATGAGGATGCCATTCATGTGCACTTCTGAGGGGGTTTCTTTTTCACACAGCTGCTTCTAAACAAAAGTCCAGCAGCCATTTGCCAGCAAACAGCCAGGATGTACAGGGTTACATCACCAATCAGTCTCCAGAGAGCATTGTAGAAGAGGCTCAGGGAAAGTTAACAGAACTGGAACAGAGGATAAAAGAAGCCATAGAAAAGAATGCACAGCTGCAGTCCTTGGAACTGGCTCATGCTGACCAACTTACCAAGGAGAAGATCGAGGAGCTGAACAAAACAAGGGAGGAACAAATTCAGAAGAAACAAAAGATTTTGGAGGAACTACAGAAAGTAGAACGAGAACTACAACTGAAAACTCAGCAGCAGCTAAAAAAGCAGTATCTAGAGGTTAAAGCTCAAAGAATTCAACTTCAGCAGCAGCAGCAACAGTCTTGCCAACATCTGGGACTACTAACTCCTGTTGGGGTTGGAGAACAGCTTTCCGAGGGAGACTATGCACGGTTACAGCAAGTGGATCCTGTTTTGCTTAAAGATGAACCCCAGCAGACTGCTGCTCAGATGGGTTTTGCACCAATCCAGCCTCTGGCCATGCCTCAAGCTTTGCCTCTGGCGGCAGGTCCCTTGCCTCCAGGGTCCATCGCAAATCTTACAGAACTGCAAGGAGTGATAGTTGGACAGCCAGTACTGGGCCAAGCACAGTTGGCAGGGCTGGGGCAAGGAATTCTGACAGAAACACAACAAGGGTTAATGGTAGCCAGCCCTGCTCAGACCCTCAATGACACGCTGGATGACATCATGGCAGGTGGGTTTATATTGTTATGAGCAGGTATCAAATATGATTTGCTTAAGGAGAGTAAGAGTGTGCCAGAATTTTTTGCCGTTACCCAACTTGAGAACTATTTTTGGACTCTTGACCCATGTATATCTTTAGAAATATTAGTTCAGTCTCAGAAGTTCTCAGATGGATACAGGTCAAATTAAAGATTAGCTCGTTCAATACAAGTGACTGAAACTTTCTAGCTTAGCTGGGTAGGCTGGGAATCTAGGTTTTTCAGTAATGGGGTTGATGTTTGATTTTTTTGTTTTTGTTTTTGTTTTTTCTCTTTAAGTTCAGAATGTTAAGATTGAATTTTGGCTTTTTTGCTTCTGTGTTCACACTAATAAACTGGGAAATTGATAGAAGTTGAAGTGCAAAACTATTAGGACACTTCAGGAAGCTTATTTGTGAACAGAAATACTTTATATCCTAATGGATCAGACTTCAAACCTGATGGATATTTAAAAAAAAAACAGCAAAAAACATAAACACTTTTAGAACAATAATAAAGTACCAAATCAAATAGGGTTTGATTATACTGTATGTCAGTATTTTTATCCCCTGTGAATGTTATTATGTAGTCTCTTTCTAATTGTATTATGGGAAGGTGTGGTCCCCTGATAGTATCGTAAATGATATATCTTTCAATGTGTAGCCAGAGAAATTTTATTCCATTATAATTAGTTTCATTGGCAAGAAGAAATACTTTGGAAGGTTATTTTTTATTGGTTCTAGTTTGGGGTACTTATTTTTTGTGAGTTCTGTAACAAAGTAATAGAATGAGATTTTACAGGATCATAAACCATAGAATGTTATACTGAGAAGGATCATTTTCTTCATATAAAAAAGAAAAAAAATTTGAAAAGGAAGGACAAAGGAAAGACAATGGAAATAAATAGTTGAATTTTGATAATTTTCATCTACTCTCTTCTTCCCCTTGTTTAATTCTTTGGTCTGTGCTTAAAAGATGATTAAATTTCTCTAATTTTGAAACTATGTTTTAGTAGCATTACATATTATGATGAGATTATACCAAATTTAACTTTCACCTTTTAAAGGAATAAAAGAAAACTAAATTTTGTACTGTTGAAATATTAGGCTAACATTCAGAAACTAAGAAACCAGCTAAGGAGACAGATTTTATACTTACAAATTGCTCTGAAGTTTCCCAGTCCTCTTTTGGTATCACCTCAACAGTCATATGTGGAATGAAGTCTCTGCTGATCCTAGAGGGTACAGTAACTACCTTGGAAAAAATACTATTAATCATTCGTAAGAACTGTAAACATTCTTATATTGATAAGTATAAAATTTTTCTATACATTTGGCAATTACTGCTAATCACCATTAGCTGGTTATTATAATTTGCAATATAATTTTTAAGATATTAGATATCTTATAAAAATTGCAGCACAGTAGCCAAAAGTTCCAAATTTTGTATTACTTCCATGACCAATAATCTGGATCATAATGGTGTTCTTTCTGTGTCAATTGAACTACCAAAGAATGGTATAGAGTTAAGTGGTTTTTTTATCCAGTTAAATGGAGAATGGACATTCCATACCAATGAATATTTACAAATTTTTTGACATGCTGTGAGAGTTTACCTGAAGTTCTTGGGCATAGTTATCAACAATTTGCCAATTGTACAATTTTTATGCTTACCAGAATTATCAGAGGTTTGTAAAGTAGTTTTTCTGTTGATTTGTTTACCAAACAAAAACGATTAAATTCTGCCTATGTTTTCCAGGTGTATTCACATAAAAATTTTTAAAAAGCACATAACTTTTCAGGAAGTATGACAAATACTTGTCATTATAAAATACGTTGCCTCTTTATTATGCTCATTTATGTGGGGAGAGGAGAGATGACCAAAAGGAAACTGAATTAAAAACATCCAGCTACCTACTGCAGTTCGTCCCTGTCACCGTGCAGAAACAGAGAGAGATTCATGCACTCGCTTCCATAACCTTTCTTTAAACTTCTTCTATGGTGGTACTGTTCTTTCAGTTGACCGATGACCATTTCCATGTCTTTCTTTGGGTTGTTTAATATCTTACAACCTCATTAGGCTCGGTCTTCCTTCCTTCACTGTAACCTCTACTCTTTAATTCTTAGTCCCCATTTATTAGACTGCTCTTATAAGGTTCCGTCTCTTTTTCTCTGATACTTGCTGGCCAGTCTTCTGTATTCCCTGTTCTCCATACTTAGCAAAGTAAAATCAGTTCCCTCATTAACCACTCTTACCACCTTGCCTTTGCTGTGTTTTCAAGTTCCCTCTTTCCTTGCCTCATGTTAAAACTTTTCTGAGCATCTGGTTCTCCTCTCTAAAATCTAACCCTAAAATGAAGTCCCACATATAAAGATCTGTACCAGAGTTCCTTCAGGTACCTACATATTTACAATTGTTACTTTTAACGGTAGAGAATGACTGAGTGACAGGCAGTTACTTAGTTTTAGTAAACCAATTTCACAGTTACCCCAATGGAAATGAAATGAGGGAATTGATTTTTCCTATCTCCTTTTAAATGAGGTGATAAGAAGAACCAATTTGACCAAAAGTAAGAGAATTAATTTTAGTATGTTCTTGAAAAGAACTTATTCCAGTTGAAATGTAAGTTATAATTTAGTCATTTAACAATAAAACTTAGATTTTTTTGTTTAGTATATCATGAAATAAAAATCAGTACTTTGGACAGATTGATGTTCATTCTGTTTAAGCTAATTTTTATACTTAGCGTTTTCATTTGTGAAAATCAGTCCAATCAAAGGAGAATCTATCTTAAGAGCCATAGATTTTATCTGGTTTTGAAATTTATACTTAAAATATGTACATTTAAATTATCTTGATTTTTTTTTTTTCCTTAAGCTATAAAACTATCAATATGGAGTAACAGTATCAAGGTGATTTAGATGATCAGTTTAATACGTTAGTACATACCTTTTTCTATCAGTCTGGATCCATAAGGATTCAAACAGTGTTTTGTTTTTTGTTTTGTTTTGTTTCCTCCTTTGTTTTTCCTTTGGCTTTTAAGTGGACTTAAAAATGTATAATTATAGAATGTGTGTTGCTATAATGTATAGTGTATGTTTGTGCCTGAACTAAGGATTTTATGTAAAATAGATTTCTTAATTGACAACCATATTTATAATTGTTAAATAAGGTCGATTTCAGTTTTGTTCTTGGCAGGATGGTAATCTCTTTTGCCTGGTTTCAGATGCAGTTGTGAATCATGATTGTTTTCTGTGTGATGTAGTTGATAACTACGTTGGTAACACATATCCACACTACTGTTGAACAAAGATTAATGCCCAGATTAGTACTATAGCATTTTTAATAGGGGGGAAAAAGGATTGATGTTCACATATCAACTCCAGAAGTGAGTTGGTGAGGGAATTTATAAAGTACCCTCAACTGCCACCGCCTTTGGAGTTCCTCCACCTCGTACTGACCTAGTTATAGCCCCTTCTTAGATTTGCAGATTTTGGTGAAAATAATATCATGGCAAAATTATACTTAGAAGAACTAACAATAATCTATGTTTGAAGGATGATTGTGTGCATACATTTATTTCTACTCTAATCTTTTAATTTTGTCCTTACAAGTCAGTGTGATTGCTGGATTGATTGGTGGGCATTTTACCCCCCTCAGAATAATTCTGCATGTGAGAAATTATATTTCTGTGTGAGGATCAGGTTTTTATATTTGACTATGCTGTTGTACTGAGGACTACAATTCAGAATATTATTATCCCCCTGTCTGTAGTTAGTGAAACAGTAGGAGGTGTTTTAAGTGATTGGATAGAGACGTCTCCCCAAACAGTGATGTTATTTTTATTAGTTCTAGACTGTGAAGTTTGAAATCGGCAGGTAAAAATCACGTTTTCCTCCTTCTGAACTTGACTATTTTGCCTTTTGTTCCTTTTCTGATTAAGAAGATATAATGGACAAGTCTCCATTTATATTTAATTTTAATTTGTAAAAAATATTTTTCTTTCAAGGTTATTTTTTAAATTAAGCTTTTATGATTACATGCCGTAAGAGGGGAATTTGTTTTTCAGATGGATTATTATTTAGAAAATCGGTTACTCTCAATAAACATTATAATTTTGGACTGTTGTCCAAAGTCAGAAATAACCAGGAAAATGGGTCTACCTGTGTACATTTTGCTTTAAAAATTATTTTTTAATAATTATTTCTTACTGTTACCTAACAACGTTTCATCCATATTAAGTGCAGTTATTTTGTTCAACAGCAGTCAGTGGAAGAGCATCTGCAATGTCAAACACTCCTACCCACAGTATCGCTGCTTCCATTTCCCAACCTCAGACTCCAACTCCAAGTCCTATCATCTCTCCTTCAGCCATGCTTCCTATCTACCCTGCCATTGATATTGATGCACAGGTAAGCTCCAAGTTCAGGAGTGATGGTTTTTAACTGGAATTATATCATCATTAAAAACATTAATCAGTGATTTAAATCATCTCAGACTGCTTTGTCTCCAGGCAAAGAGCTGAGCAGCAGTTATAAATAAATTAGAATCCACCTTTTTGCCTTTCCTTACCTGCTGCTGGAGGAGAGCCTTGCAACAGAATCCACATTTTAAAAAATAAAGTACCAAATACAGATTATTATGGATAATTATTTGATGGTCTGGTTTCCAAGGTCATCAGATAATCTTTTTAAAAACTTTAGTTTGAAAGAGAATATAGAAAGAATTAACTTATTTAAGATGAGTGTGTATTTTCTTCTAATCTTACATTAGAAGATATGCTTTAAAAATCATAATAGATTACATGTAAAAGAAAAGATTCTTCCATTTATATATCATATATACTCAATTGCATTTATAGCAAAAATTCTAATCTTGCTGACTGAAAGATGTAGTGTCTGTAACACTGTTAAGTAAAAAAAACCAAAAACAATAAAACATAACAATTTAAAAAAAAAAATTAGTTTACCATGAAATCTCAGGGCCAAGTGAGGTTGGAGAGAAAAGGATAGTTTGTGTTTTGCCCTGAAGAAACACCAAGAATCCTAGCTTAGAAGACTGCTGAATGAGGTTAGGGGTATATGGCCTTCTTCAGGACTGAGAAATGTTTGTAGTTTATTTAGTTTTGTATTTTGATTAATACTGGAGAATCATGGGGACAAGGGTGAGGGTGGTGGTGTACATTATAAAACTTGTAGTTTTGCAAATGATCAGTTCTTTATAAACCTGAATTTCAGGAGGTGTGTGAGTGTGTGTATGTTGGACTATTAAGGGCGTGTACTCTTAACCTATTGGAAAGTAAAGCCTCCTTTTCATTAAAATGTTTCTTGGTAATACTGTGAAAAAGAAATTTCATTTCTCTTCTTACTTTCTTCCCAAATGTTTATCGATTTATATGTGCTTTTTTTTTGAGGACTAAAAATTGTCAGGGACTATTTTAAAGGAATTATCTAATCTACAGACCACATATAAAGTAGCTACTCTTAAATATCCATTTCTCTGATGAATAAATTGAGGCTAAGACAGAGATTAAGCATTTTGCTTATGATCGTTTCAGTAAACTAAGAAGTGGTGTGGCTGGGAGTCAAAGCTTAAGTTGGTTTGACTTCAAAGGCACTCTTCTTAACTATCATACTGTATAGCCTTTTTATGAGGGATTCATTTGATGAATTGCAATGGTTTACATTTAATATTGATAGCATTGTAAAATTGGATTGAACTTGGTATTGAATTTGCATTGTTTCCTCCAATCTTTTTTGCTCTAAGGCTGTTATGTTTTAACCAAAAGCATATTTTCTAGTTTTTATGGGATCAAGAATTGATCCATGAGCAAAGTAAAAACTTCACCAAAATATCAAAGGGTTTCTTTTTAAAAATGCTTTTTAATAAAACAGCCACAGAAAAAGTTTCTCCAAGTGTGGTCATGATTTTATTGAATTTGAAATTATTATGGTGATGGTGAAATCTTACCTGACTATACCTAACTCAATCAATCAACCATCACTCTATTATAAATTAACTTCTGAGAATTTATATGGAAATATTTACAAAAAATTTTTTTAATTAAAGAAGAAACTTACATTTTAAATGTAGTAGACATGCTTCTGTAGAAAGATTGACTGTCACTCTAAAAATCTCCTTCTTTTCCTGGTCTCTACATTAAGGTTTTTCAGTTGGGTTAGCCTAACGTGGGTTACATTACTTTTCATGGAGTTTACTGTAATTGCTTAGTTAGACATTAGAAAGTTTCTGCTTTGGGAAGCATAATACAAAATAAATATTTGGAAATAATCGTTTACCATTTTTTTCATTAATTTTTGATGTTTTAAAAAATTTACTAGTTTTTATGAAACCAAGCAGGTACTTTAAAAAGTAAAAATAAATATTCTTTTGTACTCAATCCATCTGAAGTTTTTTCTAGATTCTAAAATAAAAATTCCATGTGATTTTACATAGTGGATATCTTGGTTTAGGTGTGACAGTACTGTGCCATAACAGATAAGTGATAGGATGAAAAAATTAATACCAGGTTTCTTCCTGTTTTGAAATATCAAGCATTCTCTAATAATTGGATCTTTCATTTGTTTATTTAACAAATTTTGGCATGTACATTCTTAACACTTTATAGGTACTAAGTTTTTTAACTTAATCTTTATGAGAACCCCATCAAGTAGGTACTGTTGTTATTCCCATTTTACAGGTGAGAAAAGTGGAACTTTTTAGTTAGAGATACTAACTACCTTGCCCAACTGCTAATTTATGATGGAGCCAGCTTTCAAACAACTCTGGCACTCTGCCTCTAGAACCTGTGCTCTTAACCACTGCACTATGCTGCCTCTTTTTCAAATTTTTGAACATTTGAATTACAGTCATGTGCCGCATTATGTTTCGGTCAGTGATGGACTATATATATGATGGTAGTCCCATAAGATTAGTACCATATAGCCTAGTGTTTGTAGTATGTTATACCACATAGGTTTGTATAAGTACACTCTATGCTGTTCACACAATAAAGAAATTGACTAACGATGTCTTTTTCAGAACGTATCCCCTTTGTTAAGCGACACATGACTGTATATTAACCTGGTAAATTAGATTATAGAAAATGGGCCCGCCACATAGATGGTAAAGGATCCACATGTTTCTCATCTTTGCATCTTTTCAGCTTGTCTCCTTGGCCACACCTCATGTTTACATCAAATCTTAATTTAAGGAAGAACAAAAGAAACGTTAATTTTTTCAAAGCTTCTATGTATGTCTCCTTTTTAAAATGCTAATGGTTCTTAAAATGGTCCTACTTTAAACTCCTTTAATTGATCATTATAGTTAGGAACTAATAGTTTTAACAAGGAGTAGCAAAAATCATGTTTAATTTCTGGACCCTAAAGAATGCTGAAGATAAAAGTTTGTGTTCTTTGTAAGGTTCCTCAAATCTAATGTTATATAACTAGAAATCATCTTTGGTTTGCAAGTGTGTGCCACAGACTGTCCATCTCTCATTTGGCAATTTTAGTGAATCAAGTTTGTCTGGATAATTTCAAAACTTTTAAGATTAATACCACATATTGTCCTGTTATCAAAATTTATTTTAAGAAACATCAGTATATGATCGTTTGAAGGAATTATTTGCGCCTATTTTACCATGCTTTTTGATAGCATAATTCTAATCTTTATTTTTATTTTTCTCGAGTGGTATAACAAAACTTAGACCTGCATACTCTAGATATAGAAATTAGGAATCAGGTAGAGATTTTTAAGAACCACTGGATTTATATGAAACAGTAACTCGGTTGAAGGTTAGAGTTGAATACTACTGAATTCATTAAATATTTTCTGTATTTTATTGTATGAAATTTTGATTAACTCTAATAGTCCCTAAAAGTGAGAAAGAACCAATTGTGTTCTGTTCATGAGTTGTAAAAACTTGTGTTCCAGCCTCCCTCCCTTTTTCTTATCTCTTGTTTTTTGTATATTTCTGAACTGCTTGTCATTTTTATTCTTAAACTTGGAATAACTTATTCAAGTACATCTTCAAAAATGAGAAAAATAAATACTTCCTTCTGCAGTTTTGCCTTTTTTCCAGTTTTTAGTAATTAACATATATCCACTATTATCTTTTAAGGGAGGGTAAACATTAAATTTAACTTATATATCAAGACTGAAACTGTAAAGTATGTAAAATTATGTTTTGCCTTTAATGGTATAAACATCATTTGGATATTTTTCTCTTTTCATGTTGGTTTTGCAATACAGAGAACAGTTTGGTCACAATGATTTAACAAGGGAAATTAAGGATACCAGGAAAAATGAGTTAATAGTGATATGTAATATGCTGCCATTAAAGCATTCTGCTTAAATTCGTGCATTCTACTTTATATGAACTGTTTTAAGCAGGTTATTTACTGTTTTACTGACTGTTCTTGTTTATTGAGTACCCCAAAGTGTTATCCTTTTTAATCTTATATATGACCCTTGACATGGTTAGAGAATGAGATGTTTGGGATTGTTGAAGGTTATGGAAGTTTTAAAAAGTTCAGCCCTTTAAGTCCTAGTGGTTTTCAAAGTAATTTAATAACTTTAGATGTAGTTAATAGATACACTTCCTTTTTTACAAACAGTTCAGGTATGTTTTTTACCCTCATTGCAGCTCATTAAAAGCTGCCTTTTCCTTTGATATTGCATCTATCTTATGATTCTTTCTTGTTTTTCACTCTTACATAATTGGATAGTCCTGTTGATAACTCAGAGAATATTTTTATATTTAAATATATTTTATCATTTCTTAATAAGGTAGAGTCATCATAACAACATCTATTGTAGTATGGAATTGTATATTTTATGGTATCTTGGGCTAAATGGATATTTTCTTTAGAATGTAAACCTGGATGAGCTTTTAACAAAGCTGGACATCTTTCTCCTTTTCAGGTTTCTCTTAGATATATGACAAAGAATGTGACTTGTTAACCAATAACATGATTTTAGTGGTACTTTGCCTTCCAGAAAGTCATCTTTATTATTATTATTTCCTTGATTAGCAATATTCAAAACACCTTATTTTTTTCTGTACCTTGTCAATCATTGTTAATTTTAACCCAAACTTCTACTTCAGTTAATTTGTGTTTTGATATATTGCAAACAAGGTTAATATTTCTTACCATCTGGAGATTGTGTAGATGAGTATTTGGGGCGGGGGGGGTAGAAGCCTCACTTCAGAATCTGTAAATTCTTTCATTACTGTCTTACAAAGATTGTCATAAAATATTGGTTGTTTTAGTTTCTCCTTAATCCAGAAATACAATGAAGTTACCCACTCTTAAGTTCCCCCAGGAATTTGGTCAGTCCTCCTTTCTCAGCTTTAAATATTTTTTTCTTCAACTCGCATAATACATTGTTAATATTTCTCTCATAGTTTGAACCTAAATTTGCCCTGAATAGTAAAAGTAAGCTCCTAGTGAGCAGGGACTGTATTTACTTATCTTTGTCAATCATAGAGTACCTAGCAGAGTACTTTGAATATAAAAGGTGCTTCATAATGTCAGTTGAACTGATGATTTATAATGTTGAAAACCAGTATTTTACTGATCCACTAAAATTTTCCATGCTTCTCTTTTTCAAATTTTGTTTGCATCTTCATTCTCTATTTGAGATTGGCACCACTTCCTAAATTACTCTTTAACCTCTGGAAGACTTAGAAACCGCACGAACTTCATCATAAAATTGACTCTTCATCATAAAGTTGACTCTTGTACTGATTGTCTATACACTAACATAGAGAGCACATAAGACACTTAACATGTTGCCCTCATTTGGCTGTGTCCTAGGGCCCCTCCGTGATGTAATGGGAAAAGCAGGATTTTATTATCCAAGATCCTCTTAGTTTTTGAGCCGGTCCTTACTGGTTATTAGCTTGTGTGACCACAGAGGGTTATTTCTCTGAGCCCTTGTCTCCTTTTCTCTGAAATCATACGTAAATCCTTCCCTATAAACCTGAAATGAAGATCAAATACTATAACACAGTCAGAGCTGTCACTCATTTAAGTATTCATGTCCTTCTCCATTGTTGTAGTTGGTGCATCTCTCCCTTGTGGCCATCCCTGATCTCTGCAGTCAGTAGCTCTGCTCTCTGCCAGCTTCTTTTTGCGGTCTCCCTCTTCATCACTGACTAGTAGGCTTTTTCTTATTTCTTGACTATCGATTTTGCCTTTTGTCTCTTGTTATTCATTTTTTTATAATGAAGTTTGGTTTTTAGAGTTATTGACCTTCTGGGAGAATATGTCTTTTTGTATTTATGATATAACTATAATAAGTATTATAAATATAAATAATATATGAATATTAAAACACAATAAACATTTCATATATATAGTCCTTTGTTTTGTTAGTAATAATCTTTGACTCTGTGACCCTTTACAGCTATTGTCATTCATTCAACTTAACTATCATTTATTATTTCCTAGGCAAAGCATCACTTAGAGGTGGAGAATGCAAACATGAATAAGACATGTTCACCTTCCAGAAATGTATGGTCCTCTGAGAGTGATAGACACATAACTAATATTAGCATAAGAAAGATTGATGATAAATGCTGTAATATAGATGCATGTGTAGAAATGAGGGAAGATGGCTTACAACAGCGCTGTTCAATAGAAAAATAATGCAAGACACATATGTAACGTTAAATTTTCTCTTACCACATTAAAAAAGACAAGTAGGTGCAATGAATTTTAAGAATATATTTTATTTAACAATGTATCCATATTATTGTTTAAACATGAAATTAAGGAAAAAATTACTGAGCTATTTTACATTTTTATTTCATACTAAAAGTATTCAAAATTTAGTGTGTATGTTACTTACAGCTTAGAGTGATCAAATCATCCTGGTTTTCCTGGGACTTTCTTGATTTTAACACTTAATTCCAGAAACCTCTCAGTCCTGAGCAAATCCGGATGGTTTGTCACCCTATTTAGAATATATCTCAACTTGAACTTCATTGAAAATACTTGATTTGCATTTAGATTTAACTATTGTACAGTTGAAAAAGTAGATTCCTTTTCTCAGGTTGCTCCAGACATACTAAAAAGTTTTCCAATAACAAAATTGAGTATTAATTTTTAAATATAAATGATTTAAAGTTAAAATGAAATTCAGTTCCTCAGTCACACTAGCCATATTTCAAATACTAGTGGCCACATGTTGCTTCTATAATCTTTTTTGGACAGCACAAGTTTAGAGTACTAAAGTTATGAGGACTTAGTTCACTAAACAAGCTCTTAAACTGTGAGAGAGTATGACCACTGGTAAATCTAATATTGGTCACTATCATTAGAAGTCATAAGTAAATTGTATGTAAACCATGTCATGTCTCAATTATTATAGTCTTTGTCTTTCAAAGTATTCTATATTTTACTATGGTTTTTTTTTTGTTCCTTTAAGTATTTTGGGGCTTTGTTTCCGAATGCAGTTAAGTTACTTGGAAACAATTTTTTCATTTCAAGGCCTGCTTTTTAGCTTTGTTAGATTGGTCCGGAACAGCTAATTTGACCCCACTGTTAAGGATTTTACTTGTTATCCTGTGTGTTTTGAGATCTTTCTACTCTGGGTGGTGGGAACCAAACTAAACTATTCCTGCCCTGTGTAAGTTCTGGGTGTTGTTCAGCCTGATCCCTTCTGGGGGTATTTCCCTGGCCTCTGATAATTTTCCTCGTTCATATGTGCTGATCAGAACTCAGCTGAAGACTTGAGGAACGTTGGCAGATCTCTGGAGTACTCTCTGGAATACTCTCTCTCTGTAGCGCTTTCCTCTCCAGTAGTCTGCCCTTTGAATTCTAGCAACCTTGACCTCTCCAAATTCAGTCTTCTCGACTGAGGGAAACTGCCAGGCTGTTTGGGTACCCTCCTGGCACTGCAGCCTGGGAACTCCTGGCAATAAGTTGAGTTAATCATTTCTGTCCTCAGAGATCACTGTTGTGCACTGCCTGTCTAAATACCATCATTTCAAATAGTTTATCCCTTTTTTTTAGTTGTTTTGAGATAGGAAGATAAATCTTGTTTATGTTACTCCATTAATGGCTGGAAGCGAAAGTGGGTCCACAGTATTTCTTTTAATCATGTAGTTGAAAATAGCATATGGTTGGAAATCATACTTTTTTCCTTCATGCTTCCTTTAAGAATTGCCCATAAAGTTCAAATATTATTTGTAGCCTTTAAAATCACAAGTTGGCCACTAATGTGGAAAAAAAACCTTATTATCCAAATGTTTGATACAGTAGAATGGTACATATGTATCTGTGTGTATTTGGTATATGTATATAGTGTAATTGATGTTAAAACTTTAGAATTATCTAATCTAATCAAAAAATTAATTTTTTACAGACTGAGAGTAATCATGACACAGCGCTAACACTTGCCTGTGCTGGTGGTCATGAGGAACTGGTACAAACACTGCTAGAGAGAGGAGCTAGTATTGAGCACCGAGACAAGAAAGGTGGGGCCTACTTTTGTTAATTTTTTTTTCCTGGAATATTTGTGTTCTATGAATAAATACTACTTCTAGCCCTATTTTGATGGTTAGACATAATGGAAAACAGTATTATTGTTCCTTTGCTTAGTGTGTAGTGAAAAGATCATTGTTTTTCTCCAGGTTTTACTCCACTCATCTTGGCTGCTACAGCTGGTCATGTTGGTGTTGTAGAAATATTGCTGGATAATGGTGCAGACATTGAAGCCCAGTCTGAAAGAACCAAGGACACACCTCTATCTTTGGCTTGTTCTGGGGGAAGACAGGAGGTAATTTTTCTCCTCCATCTATTTAGCAAATGTATACTTTTTAACTCACATGATTTTATGGGAATGGTGGATTAACATTTAGATTTCTCATAGTAACTGAAACTGTTACTTATTAGTAAAAGGACAAATATTAGTGTTAGCATAAGCTATCTTGCCAGAAAAATCATATGTTGTTTATTATTCTGCTCATCCAATAGTAATACCTGCTATAGGAATCCTTGTGTGTTGCATTCAGGCTAAGAGAATGATTATGACGTCCCAAATCAAATCAGTAAGCTTCTGATAAGCAGGGCCTAAATTCACTCAGCTTTTCCTGTCCTACTGTCCTAGAGTACCTAGCATGAAAGGTACTTAAAAGATTAGTAGAGAATTGCATATTCAATTTTTAGTTGTTCTGAGGACCTTTTCTAGTTTATCCCCATCCTTTCTCAACTCTGGAGGTAAGGTTCTCAGATAAGATTATATGACCTTTTAGTTTTTTAAGGAAGGTAGAACGGCTGTTGTGATCAGGTGTAGGCCCAAGAAATTATAATTCACACTGTCTCGTGTATCTTCTTCTGGCCTTTGGTAATCAACTGGATGACCTAATTTTTTAAATCCATTTTTTAAATCCAATGCTACGTACAAAGGATATAAGGCTTTTGATTAGCAAGTCATGCTGTCTCTATAGATTGACAGCTTCTCAATCAGGGAATTGTTGAATCTTAGATTTAGTAAGTACCCTAGGTCATCCAAGTCAGTTTCCCGCTCAGCTTAAAAATTTTCTTTTTTTTCAACATCCTAATTATTATAAAATTTTCTGTCTCTACCAAGCTAAAGTATGCCTTCCCTATGTTTCCCTACTATTCCTAGTTCTGTTCTTTGAACTAATGGAAAGAGGTTTATACTCTCCTAAATCTCCAGATATTTGAGTCTTTATTTGCCAGTCGCCTATTGTTTATGTGAAACATGTCCTGTTCTTTTGATTGTTAGCTTGGGAATACCTTTTCCAAACCCTTCACCTGGCTATTCCACCCATTGTGCTATATCCCTCCTGAAACATTGTATCTAAAAGTACTCTGACCACAAACTGGTGTTACTATTTGTGTATCTTAAACCCCCTCCTCTCCTTTTCCTGTCATAGCACCCCAGTTACATTGAACTCTAATAAGTTAAACCCAGTGGGATTTTTAATAAACTTGTAAATAAAAAATTTTGAGAGGTGGAATAATTCCTGCACAGAAAGACTGGGAAATCTAATAAAATGGTACATATATAGAAAGATAGGGCTTGGTGATCCTTTATCTTGTGAATTAAAAAGAATTGGAGCCTAATGAGCCTACAAGCATTTTTTTTTCCATACAATTTTTGCTTTGCTGTGTCAGTAATTTTTGCTCCTTTATATTTAAAGTAGATATTTTGTGTGTGGACAGTTAGATGCACTGCTATTAGAGATGTTCTGCTCAAGAGACAGCAAAGGACCTATTTCTACTGTGCTATTTCTTCTGGTCGAATGAATACATTTGTGTCATTTTTTTATTTTCCTGTATCCCCACATGGAGGTGATTGATATGTTAAAAGGATTTTACAACAAATAATATTAAGATAGTAAAAAATAAGCCAACTTAATCTCATAAGTTATTTCTACTACATCAGAAAAAATAGAGATCCCCATGAACGTCAAATTGAAATGTGATAGCAGAAATTTTTGCAATTAAATAACAACATTAATAGAAAAACTTGTATTGGTCAGAATGTAAATGCTTCTGTTTTGAAATATAATGAAAGTTAAACTTTGACTTAAGTAAAATTTTCACTAATTTTGTACCTTGAAATAATACTTGCTTCATAAGTAATAACAAATTTTTCAATTTTGAATCAAAAAGAAATCAGTTGATTTCCTTCCTTTCAAAGCAATATTAAAATCTATAGCATACTCTAATCTGTATGCATTCTTATTAAAATGTAACAGATGAGGTTATAACAGTTATAGAAGTCTTTTAGGGTAATAATTTTGTTTTTAACACTGTTGCTTTCATTTGGTGTCATTAGAACATTGGAAAGTTATTTTACCATAAAATCACAAACTAATTTTTTTTATATTGAGTGTTTATTACCTTTTGGAAATAGATCATTTCCTCTGAAAGATAACTAAGGTCAGTTATCTTTGCATGATGGAATTTTAAAAACTTGAGAAATTTGATTAAGGATTTCTATTTTATTGCTTAAGAGACTGTTTCTAAAATAAAACAGCCTAATGCCATTTTTTGGTCTTATTTTTATAACCTTGTCACGTAAGCCACCTAGTCGTAGTGGTTCTAAAAGCAAAAAAGTGATGGACAGCAAGTTATATCTAAAATTGGTCATAGCTTTTTCAAACAAGTAAAGTTTTAACTGGAATGTAACACAAAGCACTGTTTGTTAATGTTTATTTGCTATTTCCCAGTTAATATTTTAGGATGCATTATTAATAGTAAGAGCAAGGATAAGAACTATGAACTTGAACATTCTTTAACTTCCCCGTGCCTGTTTTCGAAAATGAAGATGAAAATACTAGTACCTGTGTCAAAATCAAAATTAAAGCCTTAATTTTGATTTCAGTATGATAAACTATAGCATATTCATATAGTGGAATGCTACACAATACAAATGGCTCTCAAACACTATGTAATTTCATTTATATGAAGATCTAAGATAGATGAAACTAATCTGTAGGTGGGATTGACTTGGAAGCATCATGAGTAAATAACAGATTTAAATTACATTAGGTTTATGCGTTTATCAGACCTTGGTGAATGTACACTTAAGTTTTGAGCATTTATTGTAAGTTACAAATTTCCCCTAAAAACTGAAAAAAAGCAATAGTCTAGTTAATGATATGCGTGCTATCAGTATTTAAGGGAAATTGCAGATGTCTACAATTTACTTGGAAATGCATCAAAAAATGAAGAACAAAGGAATAGATGTGATAAAGTTCAGCAGAATATTAATGGTAGAATCTAGGTAGTGGTTATATATAAATTTTTTCAGTTTTTCTCTATGTTTGAAAATTTTCATAATAAAATGTTGGAAAAAATAAATGTTAGCTTTATTCCAAGTTTTTTTTTTTTTAGCTTTTATCAATTTAAAAAATTTATTTTAAAGATATTCACATGTATAAATGAAAAAATATTATTCTATTTTTCCACTGTGTGGTGTAATAACTCAGAAATATTAATTCCAAAGTAGCATTGCACAGCAACACATGAGGTCTAGATCTTTCATGAACACGCTGTGCCGTTTCATCAGATTCCAAAATGATTTTACTTGAGAAGCTATCTCTTTGTTGGCCTCTAAGACGTCTTGCTATCATTTGAGACTGATTTTATGTAAAGGATGAAAGAAGGACTTTTCCCTTCTGTTATTATACAATATATGAGAAAAAAAGACAAATCAGAAATATATACCTTGCAAATTGTCTCACCTTAAGAAAGCACACTTTTTCCTTTTTTCTTTCCAGGTGGTGGAGCTATTGTTAGCTCGAGGGGCAAATAAAGAGCACAGGAATGTTTCTGATTACACGCCTCTAAGCCTGGCTGCTTCTGGTGGCTATGTGAACATTATCAAAATATTACTAAATGCAGGAGCTGAGATTAATTCTAGGCAAGTTTTATTCTCTCTCTACATGCCCGTTAAGAATGTTATGTTAAAGATATTTTAGAACGTTTATATTTTTAGTGCCATATTTAGGAAATGCCTTCATTACAAATTTAAAATTCAAATTACTGATTTTTAAGATTAATTTTATTTAAGTATTTAAAACTCTTTATGTAGAACGTGAAAAAATATCAATTACTCTATTTCTTGTGGAACTAACGTACATCTTTTTAATGAGTTTTTATTAAGTAAGCAAGTATGTGCTTTAGGATGGAAAATCTGTCTTTAGTACCTTAATGATTTAGTAATCACTTTTCAGCCCAAGTCATATGTTAAATGAGATACAGAAAGTATTCTACTTCTGGATAATAAAAAATTTCTAATGGAGTCTTGGTAGTATCTTAAAGACTTACAAGGTCTGAGAAAAATGATTATTTTAAATAATCCTGCAAAATAAGGAACCTTAAATAAATCCTGAAATAGAATTCTATATTATCATCCAGTTTTTCTGGGACATTTAAAATGTGTATTTTTCCTTTTGTTCTCCCCATACCTCCACCCCCAGAACTGGTAGCAAATTGGGCATTTCTCCTCTGATGTTAGCAGCTATGAATGGGCACACAGCTGCCGTTAAGCTCCTGTTAGACATGGGCTCTGACATAAATGCTCAAATAGAAACCAATCGGAACACTGCCCTTACATTAGCCTGCTTCCAAGGAAGAACTGAAGTGGTTAGTCTTCTGCTTGATAGAAAAGCAAATGTGGAACACAGAGCTAAGGTAAGGAAAGGTCTGATATTTACACATGAATTTACTGCTTTGATATTTAAAGTGTACAGTAGCAATATGCTAATTAGATTTTAGTATTTTCTGGTAACATTTATCTCTTATATATATATTTAATCAAAAATCGTTCTGTATGACCCAAGTATTGCTCTTGAAAGTACCTCAACAATAAATTTTTATAGGTAATAGTGACTATAGAGTTATGAGCTGAAAAATATGTATTATCATGAAGGAGAAGAGAGGGAACATTTATTAAGTGCCAGTTATATGCCAGGTACTTGCATCTTACACAAATTTTTTTAACAAATTGACATTAGGTAGAATTATCTTCTTTCAGTAGATACCACTGTAACTCGGAGGCTCGTAGTATCAGTGCTAAAATTTAGTTGTGAATCTTTATAGTGTATTGCTCCCCAGATTGTTATTCTTTAACATTTTAGCTCTTTCTAGTCTCTTATGTGTTGTTTTTTATTTTTCGCTAAACCTAGACTGGCCTCACACCACTAATGGAAGCTGCCTCTGGTGGATATGCAGAGGTGGGCCGAGTTCTTCTGGATAAAGGTGCTGATGTTAATGCTCCTCCGGTGCCCTCCTCGAGAGATACAGCTTTAACCATAGCAGCAGATAAAGGGCATTATAAATTCTGTGAACTTCTCATTGGCAGGTATGATGTTACCGCACCCTTCATATATGAACACAGTGTGACTAGTAATTACTGTTCTCTCTGGGAAAATTGTGCTATTAAAAAATCAAATGTGATTGCTCCTTCTATAAAATATAAGTGCATGTTTTGTTTTATTTTTTAAACCTACCTCTGTTCTGTTCTACCCATCCAGAGCTATGCTACACTGTCTGATTTATTTCAATGCAACCTAGAAATATTTCTTTTCTTCCTTTCCTGTGTGTGTGTGTACACTTTAAAAGTACTATAATTAGCTATTTAAACATCCGGCTGTTGTCATCCATATTCACATCGCCCACATAGTCTAAGTTTTGCAAAAAGTATCACTACACACCTTAAAAGTCTGACAATAATCTAAGACGTTGGGGCTGATTTTCTTGTTCTTCATAGTAATTAGGGCTTTTAAGTGACACTTATGAAAGGTAGCAGATGGGATCCAGGATAGTTTCTACTTTCAGTCACTTAAATGTTGCCTGCCAGCCTTCCAAAGATGCTTGTCTGCTTAATTGGATTTCATACTTTAACAGTCTTAAAGACCTTTCTGTATGATATCCTAAGCAGTAGAATTTAGTAGTAGCTACTATCAACTACTGTTATTCACCGTGAGTCTTATCTACCATGATGCCCTGAGAGCTAAACCTGCATGTTATTTTTAGATTCATTCTTTTTTGAAGCCACATAATATAAATACATGAATATAAATAATCTGAAACAGATACAATTGCCTTGTAAGGATACTGTTTGCGTCTCTAGGATACAGTTTGTTTAATATATTGACTATGATATTAACAGGGATATGCTTTTATTTTTCACTATGTATAATTTCACATTTTCTCAAGATTTGAAACTCAGAATTATGCAGTCAATATTTTTAAAATAAGCAATTATTGATATATGGCTATTTTTTAATTCAGTAGCTTTTAATTCAATGACTGGAAATTCTTTGTAATGTGTTTTTGAAAGAGAAATATATTTTAGGCTTGAATTGTATAAACAACTTTCATCTTTACAAAATATTTTCAGTACTTGGTTTTTATTGTTATCTGTTTCATTTTAAACAGTGGTATCTCTGTTGTTCATTTAGGGGAGCTCACATTGATGTACGTAACAAGAAGGGGAACACTCCATTGTGGCTAGCAGCAAATGGTGGACACCTCGATGTGGTTCAGTTACTGGTGCAAGCAGGTGCAGATGTGGATGCAGCAGATAATCGCAAGATTACTCCTCTCATGGCAGCATTTAGAAAGGTATTAGTCTTCGATCCTCATTCGTGTAGATGTTTTTCACTTAGTCTAGGAAGTACGTAGTTTAGTGTTCACTAAAGACTCATTTTAGGACTTAACATCACTGATGAAGGCAGTAATATAATAAGCTAATAATCGCTCTGATGGCAACATTGAAAGGTAGATACAGATGTCCCAGAAAAGTAATATTACCCGTACTGAACATTAAAGCTAACTAACTATTTGAAAAGTTGTTCTAAGTAATATTTTCAAAATCTAGTTGCAATCTTAATATTTTACAAAATGTAAATCCAATTAAGAGTAACTAATTACTTGTTTATGAATGAATACTTATATTAGCACAGCAGAGAAAAATTTAACTTACATTGACTTTATTTTTAATCACTGACTTTAGTTACTAGGAAAAAAGGAATTAAATAATGAAAACCCAGCTGACAGTATGTGAAACTACTGAAAATAGAGTTTACTACGTTCTGAAATAGAAATACAGTTTTTGAAAGCAAGAGAAACTTTGTTTCTCTTTCTCTAGAGCCTAGCACAGATCTTTGTACAAGTAATTTGATTTGAGGATTTGATTGCTCTTAAGTGCAGTTGTGTTACTGAGGAAACCAGATCACTATTTCAGAGATTATAATTTTGAGTTTCATTATTCTGAGACATGCAGGTAAAATCCTTTGTAGATTCCAGATTGCTTTGTTGTATTGAAAAATTTTAATCTAAATCGCAAGAAATCATCTCTTCCTTTTTTCTATTACTCTCTGACTCTTGTTCTTTATACCACCTCTTCCCTGGATGCTCTAGACTACCTCGCCACTGACTCTCTCTATTTTTCTTCTCACCAAACAAACTTACTCTTTCTCACTGGCTACCTACCTCTTATCCATGCAAGCTAGCATATCATTATCAAGGTAATCTTCCTGACCACTCCACTCTATTAGTATCCCCTTCAAGAACTTTTTCCTGTCTCCCTAGTCTCTGTAGTCTTTTGAAATGCAGTCTTATTTTGTTATTCAAAGCCACCACAATGTAGTGCCTTTAGAGCTCATCTCCCATTGAGTCCCTAATGTGGAGAGTCTTCTTGCTTGGTCTTTTCTTTGTCACTGTCTCACACTGCCTTTGTTCTCGTCTCAGGAATGCCCATGTCCTTCCTCATTTTTCCAAAATTGCTCATTCTTTTAATCTACCCTTCTACAGAAACTCTTCACATCCTATCTGAGCACACATTGAGATATTTAATCTCCATAATATTATCTTTATCATTCATTTTGACAAATATATGTGTTGTTACTACTCCAATTTCTAACATGCATATATCTTATCTTTCCAAGTAGACTTAGCTCCTTAAGAACAGTGCTTATCGTCTATACTCTGTTGTATTCATTCTATTATTTATTTTGTTAGTACCTACCATGTGCAAGTGTAATGGTTGGAATATTACATTGTACAGAGTGCAGGAGTCGCACTTTTTGAAAAATGTAATTTAGTCAGTAAGATACCACACACAAAATCAGGTAACTGTGAGTTGTCCCATATAAATAGTTAAATTCTATAGAAGTGTTGGTGAGATATCAAGGAATGATGCAAATGCCATTTGAGCTATTCGTTAAAAGATTGAGATAGTTTAAAAAGGTGTACAGATGAAAAGAAGCGATAGAGGCAAATAGAGGAAGTATACTAAAAGTGAACAGCTGTTTATTCAGACTGGCTAACTTATATGTTTTGTGTCAGAGAGCAGTGTTGTGGATTGGAGAAAGCGGAGAGACCCTCTTGAATTTTGGTCTAAAGATTTTGAACATAGTGAACTGTGTTATGGTGAATAATATAATCATAGCTCATGCTTAGGAAAGGGTATTGTATTTCTTTCATACTATCTACTACAGAACTATGCATTTACTTTTTATCTGAAAGAAAGAACAAAATTATTTGTACTCTTTTAATGCTTAGAACTGAAACGAGATGCTCATTGTAATGAATTAGCTAGAAAAAAAATTGAGTATTTTTTTTCTTTCAGACATATCCCCTATTTCTTCATACTGATTTTTGGGTTATTGTCTTTTATTTAGAGTGGTTTAGAATTTTAGGTCAAGTTATTCTGTATGTTTTTGGAGAGTGGGATGAGAATGAACAATGTAGATTTAACTTGTTAAAACCAAAGCCTGTCTCTTTTTCATTTACAGTGCAAATAATACCCAATTAAGTCTTTATTTTGTGGCACTAATGTCAAAGGAATCTTACTTAAGACAGACTGTAGATGTACTGAATCGTGTTAGAGTCTCTTTTTAATTTGGCATTGATATCTGTTTTTTAGGGTCATGTGAAGGTGGTACGCTACTTAGTCAAAGAAGTGAATCAGTTTCCATCAGATTCTGAATGTATGAGATACATAGCAACCATCACTGATAAGGTAATATATTGATCAAATTCATCCCACTATATGAGATAGGGATCCCATTTGGTTTCATACATATATATCCCACACTAAGAAAAATGTCTGAGTTTGAGCAATAATGTGTTGTATATAGCAATTTTCATTTATCTAGTATTTGGGGATGAAATATGTTGTTTAAGGGATACTATTTATAGATTATCTACTTACCTAATGAAGCAATAAAACAGTCTCTGTGATAAAATTACTTTATCCTTTTAAATAGTACTTGAGCTAATTTAATTTTTGTGTAAATACTAAACAATATAAAGCAAAGATTGTTATTGTCCATTAGTGCTATAATCTGTATGTTTGTTTATCCAGACTGATGTCTATTCTGAGAGGAACAAGCCCAGTGGATTGTTTTTTGTATACGTAAACAAAAAATGAACATAGTACTTTTAATCATGGGCAAGAAAACTTTGTCTTCAGCATAATGTAAAATTTTGTGTAACTGTCAGCTGAAGAATGAATTGGCTTGGATTTTTGCAGGAAAAGTAGAGGAGATACAAAAAGATCCTATTAGAGATCTACTTAAGATCTTTCCCTGGTGACGTTTTGATTTGGGATTTATGCTAATATTTGAATAAAATCCTAAGACATGCCTCTGAAAATCCAAAGAGGTCAACATATCTAAAAATGTCTTTCTGTTACATTTTCTCAGCAGTTATTGCATGACAGTGAGCAGCTTTTCCCCATAGGTTTTATTTAACATAGCCAATTTACTGTCTTGCCTGCCTGTCGATTCCTCTATGACAGTTAACATTCCTGGATACCACTGGGTTTTTTTGGAAATGAGAGAGAGATTAAAAATAAGGCTTTTGTCTTAATAGGGAAATATCCCTTTCCTGTCAAAAAGTGTGTTGTGAGAATGAAATTACTGAGAAAAGTGTCAAAGTACCTGTGTCTGTGATTTCTTAATGGGTGATTCTTGCACATGAAGTTGTAGCAACAAAGCTTAAATATTTGAGAACAGTTCTTTCCAGTTAAGTACTTTAAAATTATTTAAACCCATTTTGTTTGTTGACATTGACTTTTTCCTCTAGCCCATTAACCAACTGACAAATTATTTCAATTCTGTTTGCTATACGATTACTTATATTCAAATTATAGGAGTAAATAATTTTAGTTTCCAAAGTACCAGTCAAATGAATATTATTTTGAAGAACAGTAGAGGCTCTTTGCTTGTATATTTTTAAAAATATGCTGTTTAAATTGTTTTTACTTGCATCCTTTGTTGCCCTACCACTGATCTTTATTGCTTATGTTCTTTCAAGTGCCTCAATTAATATCTTGATCCTTTCAGAATTGTCTCTGAATGTGTATTTTTTTTTTTATGCTGAAAAAGTCTTAATTTTTCATTTTAGGAGATGCTGAAGAAGTGTCATCTTTGTATGGAATCAATAGTACAAGCCAAAGATAGACAGGCTGCTGAAGCAAACAAAAATGCCAGCATTTTATTAGAGGAGTTAGACTTGGAAAAGGTAATGATAACCTTTACATATGAAAAATACCTACTTTTTTCCCTCCTGCTTTCTTCCCCCTACTTTGTAATCTGTTGTTTTTTGTTTTTGTTTTGTTTTGTGTTTACTTTTGCTTTAAATTATCGGAATTTTCTCTCCAATTTTGTCTCAAATACTGGAAAGAATTTTGAGTATTTTAAATATTAAAAGAATTTTCTTTGTAATCAGAATAAACAAAATTTTATTATAGGAATTGCATTAATCTGGAAGTCAGAAAATCTAGCCTCTAATGCTCAATTTTAGACTTATCTCAGCTAATGATCTCTTAATCCCCATCCAAATCTATACTTCATTGATCCTAGACCTTGTAATTGGTTGCCAACAGATTTATCAGAAGTACCAAATGCACTACCAAGGCATAACCAACCAGTGAAGTACAGCCACTTGGTGGAATGTTTAATGAGTACATTTTTTTAAATGGATGATTTCTCTTGTACTTTTCTTTTTCAGACAGACTATAGCATCATTCCCATCTATTCTCATGGGGAGTGAAATACTCCAGACAACTTATAGTTTGGACCGTCTCATAGCTCCTTCTTTTATTCCTCCTTCCTGTCAATAACTCTGCACTCTAGAATGTGATAGAAATAGTAATGATAGCAGGAAAAGAATTGGTTGGCATTGAATATTATGGAATACATATTCTGCTGTATTTCATCTTTTATAAAAGGTTAAAAATGTTATAAAATTTGGGCCCAGCCCAGTGGCATAGTGGTTAAGTTTGTGTGCTCCACTTCCTTGGCCCAGAGTTCGCAGGTTCAGATCCCAGGCACGGACCTACACACCACTCATCAAGCCATGCTGTGGTGGCATCCCACATACAAAGTAGAGGAAGATTGGCACAGATGTTAGCTCAGGGCCAGTTTTCCTCACCAAAAAAAAAGTTACAAAATTTAACATGTACTGTTTACATTTATAAAGAATACACAATGATAATTATAACCTTTTTGATTTGAGTCAGGTCCATTCTTTTTTATTGTACTTGCTGACTTTGTTAAGCTGTATATGTCATCTTGCATAAAGAAAATATGAATTATTCTGAACATATTATTCTAATTTAAATGTGAAATACACTTATTTTCTGGAAAATATATTTAATATTGGAGGTTCTTCATTTTCAAAAAATTTGTGGTTTAGATTCTGGTCAATTGAAAAGTAGCTTTTTTGGCCATTTTGAAGTTTTAAAAGAATATGAACACATTGAGATTAGATAAAATCACTGTAACTATTACTTGACCTATCTTCATATTCAGTTTCACCTAATATTTATTTAATGCCTACTAGATACCAGGCAATATAATAGGGCCAAGTTGTATGACAGAGTACATATTATTTTAGTCTTCTCAGTAAAAATATTATTACTCTCCTATTACAAATGGAAAAACTGAATCTATGGGAAGTTAAGTAACTTGCCTAGCTAGGCTAGGATTTGAACCCAGTTTTTTATTCTAAATTCCCTGGTTCCTTCTTCTCCCTTAATTGAACATAACCTACCTCTTAGTTCTTTCTTTTAAAGTATTAGAATATCCTGTTTTTGTATTGCTCTCCTATTTTTAAATGTTAGGATCTCTAAGTAATAGTTATTTCATGATATTGTTTCTTTTTGCATTTCTATAAACCTAGAAAGCATCCTTTTTATAGCTAAGATGTAGATATCTGTTTTTAAAATCTTTAATTTTTTCATACTTTTGATGTTTATTCATTATATTAAATACATTTAGAGATTTACTCCCTACCTGTAAATTATAAAGTCAGGAAGCAGTTTTAGGAAATATCCTATTAAGATGTCTGTTCTCAGTCAACTTCATTGTGTTTTCTTTATTACAATCATGTGTTCAGTCTAAACTGTGAAACATTCAGAGATAACTAAAGAAAAACCTATTTCGTCATTGTAAGATAACTAAAGTTAAAAACTTGATAAGGTAACTAAAGTCCTCACCTCTATACTAACCTATAAAGCCTTTTAAGACCCTGCATGATCTGCCCACCCACACTACTCCTTACACTTCTCGAATCTTATTTTTTTATTACTTTTTCTTGGTCACTTTGCTCCATTCATACTGACCATCTTCTTTTTGCTCTCGCTGTGCCTTCTGCCTTGAATCTTCCTTCAGATGCCTCATATTTTAGTCTGCGTTTCACAAACACATTTCCTTTCTTTATTTTCACTTTCTAACATTCTAAATACTATATTTTACTTAGTTATCTTGTTTGTTTCTCTCTACCACTAGAATGTATGCACCACAGAATGGTGCCTTCCATGCTGTAGGCACTCAATAAATATTTGTTGAACAAATAAATAGTCACGCATATGGAGATGGTGTGCTTTTTTAAAAAGCAGAATCATGTCAACATACCATTCTAATACTTGCTTTTTCCCCCTTCTCAATAACTGATGGATATTGGCAATTGATAGTGATTTAAATAACTGCAGAATATACTCCATAGTAAGTATGTTTCGAGTTTTTTGTCACTACAGATAATGTTGCAATAAACATTCTTATACATATTTCCTTATATTTTGGTGCTTTTATTTTTATGGAGTGAGTTTCTTCACTTGGGTCAATATATTTTAAATTTGATACTTCCGTGATGTTTTCCTACTACTATCAGCAAGTGTCATTTCTTTGAATTCTCGCCAGCATTTCTTAACCTTGATGCTCAATGCTTTCAAAAGTCAGATTTAAAGCAAATCAAAAGGAACTTCTTTCAAGTGTCATTGCATATTTTTCCATAATATTAAAACTCAAAGATGATAGATAATCATCAATTAATTACATGTAAATTGATTCTTCTGCATAGACTGATACTTTATAAACAGTTTTGAATGAGGATGGTACATAGATAGAATTCTGCATTATAGAGGAGGCTCTTCTCTCCTGACCTGCAGCCCAGTATTTCTATTTGAAAAATCATCGGATTGGGATCTGATAGGGTTTGGTTCACCGTTTTTCACTTATGATTTACATCTGGGAGAATACTCTTTTTTGAGACATGGTACGTTCTGGCTCCCTCAGTTCTGATTTAAGACTATCATTAGAGCTGGTCTTGTCTGGTCTGTCGATGTTCTGCATGGGTCACTGATTGCTTGTATAAAAATGCTTCTTTGGTCAGCCTTTTTAATTTGACAGTTTTGGTTAATAGGTTTATAAAAACTGCTGCTGAGAATACTGCCCATTATATTGATCAGATTCCCTAATCGTAATTCAGCAAACATTTATTTACTGAGCATTTGCTATATGAAAGAGTCCCCACTCTGGAGCAGTTCATCTGATCAAACTGTGGAATCCTCTTGCAGTTAATTGCTTGTTCTTGTCTTGACTGTTAGAATCTTTAGTAGATATTGTTGTTCTCCATTTTTGATATATTTGTTTTACCCCTCCACTTTATTACTTATTGTTTCTTCTCCTACCTTTTTCTTTGTTAACTTTTGTAACATAACCTTTTAGGTAGCTTTGTAGGGTATGTTTTTAAAAATATTCCTAATAGATATTTTCAATTGGGTTTTTTTCCCATTAACTGAAGCTTTTAATATGCCCATCCCACCATCTCGGTTCTATACATATCATTCTCTATCATCTCCTATCTTTTCAGCTTTACTCCCTCTACAATTCTGCCTCCTACAATCCTGACAACACCCTGCCTACCAATAAATTGTAAGATCCATTTATCATACCATCCTTCACTCTTTCTTACTCAAAGTCTCTTTCTCCTTATTCTCACCTGTACCCTAGTAACTAAATGTATCACATGAAAAAACATTCAACCTTGGTGACTAATTTTGCTTTAAATGTGTAACAGTGAACCCTTTAATGCTCTCCAGCAGTTAGACTATATTTCCCTAGTTTAATTCATTCTCCCACTCATCTTGACCACTATTCCTTTCTCCTTTATTCTCTGACTTAAAGTGCCTGCTCTCCTTCACCCTCACTTGATGCCCTTGCATCCTATATCAGTGAGAAAACTAAAGCATCAGAAGAAGAGTGTCAAAGACTTTCCCTACTCCATTTACCCACCCACCAATCCTTGCACCTATATTCTTCCTACCAGTTACTAAATAAACGTTTTGTAACCAGTCCCTCCATTTCTAAACTAGATCCTATCTGGTCTCCCTTACTCAAAAACATTGTTTTAGCAATTGTCTTTTTTTACCTCTTATATCATTTTTCCTCCTCTCCTGGATCATTCTTATCATCATACAAGCTTATTTCTCCAATCTTAAAAAAACCTTTTGATTCCTCCAACCCTTTCTCCCCAGTTTTCAGCTACAAGCCCACTTCTTTGCTTTTGTTTGCAGCAAAACTCCTTGTCTATTTTGGCTATGTCCAATTCTTCCTTTTTCTTGAGTCTATTCCTGCCAGGCCTTCTCTCTTACAACTCCACCAAAACCCTGCTTTTATGGTCTCCAGTGACTTTCATGTAGCTAAATCCAATGATTACTTCTCTATCCTTATCTTACTAAGTCTAGTAACACCTGACATACTCTCTTCACTTAGCCTCCATAACACTACACACTCTTGGTTTTTCTTCTACCTCTCTGGATATTCCTTCTCTTCTCCTCTCTTAGTTGGAAGCCCTTTAGCTCATTACATGATCTTCTTTATCCACTGGTCATCTTATCCTGCTTCGTCACTTTAAATCTATACCAGCTGATCCCAAATTTATATCTTTAGCCCAGACCTCTTCCCTAAACTCCAGTCTCATACATCCAGATAGCTAGTCAACATCTCCATTTGGAAACCTAATTAGACATCTCATACTTGTGTCCAAATGTGAACTCCCTATCTTTGCCCACCCCAGACCCCTCAACTCTGTCTTGTAATTGTTCAGGCTAAAAACCTTGAAATCATCCTTGATTCCTTTCTATCCTCTATTGTGTTGGATTATCTTGTTACCTTTGCCTTGGAACTATATCTGGAATCTTAATTGCTTTTCATCACTTCTGGTTCAAGTCATTAATA